AAATAACCGACTATGTAAAAGCATACCTCAAAGTCGGAGATCATGGTTCTACCCATCGTCTGCTAGTCACAGACATCGGGAAATTAGACATGATCATTGGGATGTCATACTTATGTCAGCATAATCCAGAAATCAACTGGCAAGCTGGAGAATGGAAATACTCACGATGCCCGAGTACGTGTCACCACCAGAGGCTTCATAAAAAGCAACAAGCCATTGCGAGAGAGGAAGCTGAAGAAATCTCGCAACGAGCACAACAAGTGGCAAATGAGGAGCCAACTGCATTCTGAATGTTTAATGGACACAACATCGATGCAGTAAATCCTATCATCTCGTGGGTCGAAATGGACGACCCCGAAGCTGAACAAATAGCCCGCATGATACTTTCTATAGCAGATTGTGGCTATGCTGAACCAGAAGAAGACCTGAAAGAAGCGGCACCCCAGTCAAACACTGGCAGCCCAGAAGATCAGGTTATTAATGAAGTAGAATCTTGGGAAAAGCTAGTACCAGATTATCTACATTCATTTGGTGATGTCTTCTCCAAAAAAGCGTCTGAAAGGATGCCAACTCAAAAGCCTTATGATCATGCAATCGAGTTTGAAGAAGAACATGAATTACCACGACCAAGCAAACTCTATCCTATGAATCCGGAGGAAAGAAATTCCTTAGATTCATGGATCGATGAAAATCTAGCAAAAGGCTACATTCGAAAATCGAAATCACCTATTGCTGCCCCAGTATTCTTCGTCAAGAAGAAGGATGGCACACTAAGACTGGTACAAGACTACCGAAAACTTAATGCCATAACCAAGAAGAATCGCTTCTCTATTCCACGAATAAGCGAGCTTATCGATCAGCTCAGTAATGCGTCAATATTCACCAAGCTGGATCTCAGATGGGGATACAACAATGTTCGCATCTGCAAGGGTGACGAATGGAAAACAGCTTTTGTGACGCATCGCAGTTTATATGAGGCCACGGTTATGTTTTTCGGTTTCTGTAACGCACCAGCCATCTTCCAACACATGATGAATGAGATTTTAGATGATCTTATTCGGGAAGGTCATGTGATCATCTACCTCGATGATATCCTAATTTTCACTAACGATTTGAAACAACATCGGAAGATTACCAAAGAGGTAATTAAAAGATTACGGGACAACGACCTTTTTGCCAAACCAGAAAAGTGCTTTTTCGAACAGCCATCGATTGAGTACTTAGAGATGATTATCTCTCAAGGTGAGGTCCGTATGGATCCTCAAAAGGTCGCAGGTGTACTCGACTGGCCTGAACCCAAGAAGGTTAAGCAAGTACAAGCTTTTCTTGGGTTCGCAAATTTCTATCGTCGATTTATTGAAGGATTTGCCAAAAAGTCTCGACCACTCAATATCCTTACACGAAAGGATCAGAAATGGGTGTGGAACGAAGAGCAACAACAATCATTCAATGCTCTCAAGAAAGCTTTTACAACAGCTCCAATTCTGGCATTACCGGATGATACGCATCCATTCCGGTTAGAAACGGATTCAAGCGATTTTGCCACTGGTGCATGCCTCGAACAACTCAAAGACGATGGGTTGTGGCATCCAATCGTATTTTATTCGAAAAGCCTCAATGAGACTGAGCGGAACTATGAAATCTATGACAAAGAGATGCTCGCAATTATTCGAGCGTTGGAAGAATATCGACAACATCTCGAAGGTCATCCGCTCCCAGTTGAAATATGGTCCGATCACCAGAACTTAACCTATTTCAAATCAGCACAAAAGCTGACGAGGCGGCAAGCTCGATGGTCATTATATCTCACACGGTTCAACATCCAACTACATCACAAACCAGGGAAATCAATGCATCACGCAGATCCTCTGTCCAGGAGGCCAGATCATGAAGAGGGGGTAAATCTCGATAATTCCGACAAGACTCTGCTCAAACTGGAATATTTCGCGATTAAAGCTATTCAACATACCCATCTTGCAGTCGTCACAGATCATGATTTGGTGAACAAGATCAAGGAGGCACTACAAGACGACAATGTGAACAAATCATATCAAGACCTACTCAAGAAAGGACAACGAGAGTTCTCAAAAGGACTCGAAGACTGGAACTTTGAAAGTGGGATATTATTATACCGAGGCAAAATCTATGTGCCGAAAGCAGATAATAAGGAATCACTTAGACGAGAAATCGTTCAGCGTTATCATGAAGCTGCCAGTGCAGGTCATCCTGGAAGATGGAAGACATATGAGATGTTATCTCGTAATTACTGGTGGCCGGCAATGTCCACTTACATCAAAAAGTATGTTGGTTCTTGCGACCTTTGTCAACGCAACAAGAACATCAATCAGCCAAAATACGGAGAATTACAGCCAAATGAGGTTCCGACAGAACCTTGGGAAATTGTCTCTGTTGACTTAATCACTCAATTACCAGAATCCCATGGATTCAACGCAATTATGGTAGTTGTCGATCGTTTGATCAAACGAGCGCATTTCTTTGCAATCACCAATGAGTTTTCAGCATCAGACCTTGCCCGTACTTTCTATGAGAGGGTATGGACACAGCATGGTCTTCCGAGACAGATTATCTCGGATAGAGGTACTCAGTTTGCAAGCGCATTATTCCAAGAAGTATGCAAGCTCCTTGGGATACAATCAATAATGTCGTCCGCATATCATCTGGAGACCGATGGTCAAACTGAAAGAACAAATCAGTCGCTAGAGCAATATCTTCGTATTTATACTGATAAATGCGTGGAAGACTGGAGTACTTTACTTCTAACTGCCGAATTCACCTATAACAATCAGGCTTCTGAAGCCAATAAGAATTCACCATTCTTTGTCGAATACGGTAGACACCCACATGCAGAACCAACAATAATGGACCCCATAAAGCATAATACGCTAGATTCCATAATGCAGGCACGAGTAGAAGCGCAAGAGCAAGCGAAAGCAGCCATTTTATTGGCAGCTGAGCGCATGAAGTGGTACTACGATCAATCCGTACGACCCGCACCTTTCAAAGTTGGAGATCAAGTATTACTCTCCATTAGAGATTGGCAGACATCGGGAGCCAAATTGGCACAACGGAGAGATGGACCCTTCAAAATCGTAGAAAAACTAGGATCAGTCACATATAGACTCAAAATGCTGTGACAATACGGCATTCATCCAGTTTTTCATGCGTCCGAGCTCACGCTCTACCACAAAGATGAAATACCAGACCGCACTCTCAGACCCTGTCCTCCTATCAAGAAGAAGACTGGCGAAGAATGGGAAGTCAAATACATAGTCGACTCTCGTGTCATTCATGGCAAACTTCAATATTTGGTGCATTGGAAGGGTTATTCTAAAGCCGAAGAAACTTGGGAACCTGCAGCAAATTTGAAGAAATCTCCGCGTCTCATCAAGGAATTTCACAGAAAATATCCTGATGCACCTCAACCAATATCTCTCATTGATACAACTCCAGTGGATGGCGTTTTTCCATCCAGGAGAACAGGTCAAGTTTACGACCCCGCCACTGATACCATTCAGATATACGATCAGGATAGAGATGATTGGGATCATTCTAGAGATCTTCAAATTACATTAGACAATCCAAATGCACACGCACCAAAATATGCCCATGAAGACGATGCTGGAATGGATTTAGCCGCATCAGAACCAACAATCATCCGAGCACACTCAAGAGGATTGGTATCCACAGGACTTCACTTTACAACCCCTCGAGGGACCTATGGTCGAATTGCACCACGAAGTGGGTTAGCTGTCAAAGGCATCGACATAGGTGCTGGTGTTATCGACAGAGGATACACAGGCGAAATCAAGATTTTGCTAATCAATAATACAAATGATGACTTCACAGTCAATTTGGGCGATCGAGTTGCTCAACTTATCATTGAACGTATTATCACCCCTGTCGTTTCACTGGTTGATTACCTCAAACCATCAGCCCGAGGTCACCGTGGATTTGGTTCAACAGGTGATAATTACTTCCAGAAATCACGCAAAAAGCCAGATTCGGGATGAACTGTCTAGAAGGGGGGGTATTGTCACAGATTTTCACGTTTTCACCTCTGCACGTGACCAAGACATCATTTGACATCAGCGCTAGGCTGTTCAGAAAGAAACGAACCGGTACGCGAAGTACTAACAGTCCTAGATGCCCCGAAGGTCCAGGTCTAGTCACGTGACATATCACGTGATATCCACACATGTGACAAGTAGCGCTGGTATTAGGTAAGCCTAATTTATACAGTAATATTATCCCACCTAGAAGCAATGGTTGGACTCCGGAAGAATCCAACGAAGGGGATACACACCACTGGAGATATGTCCTTAAGGGGATATTAGTTCACATGCACGAGGTAGATAGATACCACGCCACCGGAGATGTAGTCATTACAGGCAATACCATTCCCATGGTCTTACTAAGTAGTTCGGAGGTTCGGCATGCATGACACACGTAGTCTGACAGGTAGTGGTAACCAATCAGACAATGTCCATTAGCTAGCGGTTCTGGGGTATCAGGGTACCAAGGGTCCCTCCGCTCATGTATATAAGCCAGAGCTCTGAGACGCATAAAGTCCCCCAGACTTATTCTCATCTCTGCTACGCCTTTCCATATAGTGTTATCAGTGCTCACTTGCAAGTCGCTGCTTTACCTTGATCATCTTTGTGTCCATCCTTACGTCGACAACAGTCAGTAAGTGTTTGATCATAAGGTCATAGGCTTAGTCGGCGCTCTGCGTCCTAAGTTTGTGATAGCCTCTGAACTTTGAAGGTACCGGTGAGCACATCAGAGGCAAACTCAGATAGCGCATTCTATGCTAGCATGATGACCTTGTTTGATGTCCCTCACTGTACTTGCTTCTACACGATTTCTTGATGTCAATCAATGCATTGACCTAAGTTTTATCCCGCTCCCGCTTTTCTGCCGCTCCCGGGGAGCGATAGGAATGCAGACGTTGCTTCATCTTTCCCTTCGACTAAGTTCCATTAAATATCGATGCTACGCTTCCAGATTCCCGAATCGTCGGCAATTGAACCCTCATCCTCTTCACCCCCATCCGTTTTCTTCCTCCTCGAATCGATCTCGGCCTCAGCTCTCTTTCGGTTTTTACTCTGAGAGGCCGAAGATGGCTTATGACTCTGACCGTTCTCCCAGTCACGCCGGTGCAACCGATATACCGCCGTGGTGGCCCATGCATCAATAACCTATCAGTAGAGAACATTAGTGACAACGAGAGAAGACAATAAAATTTTGCGAACGTTAGAGTGCTCCCCTTCCTGTTTCATCACTCCTAACTCCTGGCGCAGGAGTGCCGCAGAGCAACGCGGCGCGAACGCGTGAGCTTGGTAGTATTTGAACGCGTACAGTTGCCATATCGCGTCTTGACGAGCGTGGGTGCGGGATGAGTAACGCCTACCAAGTGATGAATAGTCAACAGGAAATCACGAGCTAAAAGGAGGTGCACCATCGAATCGTTATGCACTGTATGCCCAACAAGTATCCTATACTCCAAGAGACCCGCCACCTGCTTCTGCGCCTCTTTCAAGGGCTTCGCTATTGACCCGCATCAGCCTGAATTATACTGTGCTAAAAATTGCTCATATGACATATGTACCGTGCACTATTTCATCTGGGCGGATACCAGAGAACTGGGTCCGATAGTCGACCACGCGCCCTTGGGACGAACGAGTACATCAAGGACGACGACATCCTCACAATTAAGGGCGCTCGTAAGGCAGATTTCGTGCCATCGAGACCCATTCTGACCCATTCCGAACATCTCGCAGTCTATAGCGAGATATTTTCCTGGTCTGGAAGGAATAGATGAACGTGGATCGGCGCGGAGTAATATATCCCTTCGCTTACACGTACTGCGTGCGGTGGGGTAATACGAAGAGCGTGCCTGCAATCATAGATCGGAGAGAGGATATGGAATCTCCGTTATGCATAGCGGGTTGGTTGGTGTCGTGGACGGGCGTAACAACCATATGTTTATGTGAACGTGTGGGCACAGGAGACGCTCCCCGAGAAAAGGTTTTGCCGAAGCAGATAGAGGTATCAGAAAGTTATACACTATTATATTCTAGATTATTCCAGTCTGAACTCCTTGAAAGTGCTGGATTGTGTGGTTTGCTCTTGAGCGAGGAGAGGAGTTTCTGCCAATGTAGAAATGGGCTTATGGTTAGCGAGTGATGGTCTTACTTGATGCATGACGGAACACACTTTGAGCAAAGTGCGTTACTTAGACGAGATGTATTTCACTTTATCTGGAAGGTGTCGACTAGCTAAATGATTGATCATGGACGAGATCATTGCAGCCACACGAACAAGCGCCCGTGGGCTACTAGCTAGGTCATAGTACAATATCCACGCGCCGCAATCAACCACTGCACTACTGCACTGGCATCTACGTCCGGGACGACCAGCATCATGGATTTGAGGCGGTGCATTCTTGTTTGCCGTGCAGCTATGGCTTGTTCTGCCAACTGTTTGGCTTACCATCTGTCTCAAATTATCATACCGTGACTCTAGGTCACTCTATTTCCTCTGGCAGCTTTTCACTCGAGCATTCGATCTGGAGTCCGAAACGTTCAACCTTCAACTAAACTTCAAACGACATTGCATCCATCATAAGAGCTGGTTCCGAAGTTTGCTGAAGGTGCACACTTCTGTGACGTTCATTGTCAATTTTACGAGGGAACGGAATAGCAAGAAAGCTCCTCACTACGATACTCATCCATGAATCTGGCGATCATGTCCAATGACGGAGTCGGTGGATATGGCCGCGAAGTTTGCTGGAAACAGACATACCCTCGTGATCATCGATTCATCCCTCATGGTCATTCTTCGAAGCTGCGGGTGCAGGGATAAATGGCTACATTCCCATCCGACTGGAAGATCCATTGTTCCCGGGTCAGTCATCGGATCGGAAACGCGGGCAGGATGGTCGCCACCGGGCCGCCACATACATGATCGAGTCGTAGTCATGGTGTAAAGGCTCTCATGACTATCTTCTGGCCGTCCATGGCATTCGTTATGCGTGCTCCGTGCGCCAGATATAAAGCGTGGATACAGGACAGACTCTCACCCCATATCTTGTGCGCGTCGAGGTAGCAAGATGTTACGTGTTCTTTGGCCCGGGCTGTTGGTGAGCTTGCTCATCTTGACAGCTATCGCCACAAAAGTCTCGCGTGGGAGGAATAGCACATGTATCCTCGAGCCCCTTGGCGATGGGCAAGACGATACTGATCAGGTATGTTCGAATAGCTCCCAAGAGAATTTATTCATTATTGGTTGTAGATTGAGGCTGCCATCATGGAATGCGGCCAATATGGTAGTACAATTTTTGCTCCTGGAGTCTACAATGTGACCAGGTGAGCAAGCTACCACCTTCAATTGATGTGTCTAAATCTTCGCGATTCGAGGAAAATGACCTGGAACCTCACAGAGTCTAGGATTGACCTGCATGGTTATCTCAACGTAAGTAATGCTTCGTTACACCACTTATTTCCACCGCTAATACGTGGTTCATTCAGTTTACTGCAAACCTCCCATATTGGATGGACCCGGAGAACACCTACAGAGTTATCTTTATCCAGGTTCGCTAGTGAAAGGCATCCTTCACCTTAGCCTTTATGTATATGGATGTAGAGTCAAGCCTCTTGGTTCGTCATTACCGGTAGCGACTTCATCATTGACGCACACAATACCGGCGGAATCATCGGCAACGGCCAGTATTGGTGGAACTGGTACGGCCTTGACACTCGCTATGATGGTGATGGACGGCCTGTGTCCCTCACAGTGTATCGGGCGAAGCGAGGGACTGTCGCGAACTTCCGGATTGAAGGCCAGCCCTTCTGGTGCAATGCTATTGCTGAATCGCAGGACTTCGTCTATGATGGAATGTACTGCAATGCCACAAACACGAATCCCCACTATTTTTATCAAAAGTAAGTATATCTCAGAAACAAAACACAGGTGAGGGGATTGACCTTATATTCAGTGCGGTACCGAACACCGACGGTAAGAACGCTGTCTATCTTGCTCGGCAAGACCTCTCATTGATTATCATGTAGGTATTGACACTTTCCGTTCCGACAACATTATCATGCGCAACTGGGATGTAAGCAAGTCTCTGCATAGCGCTTTACTATATAATTGACCTGGTCCTGTCTTCAGATCACATTAGGAGATGACTGTCTAGCAATCAAAGGCGTGCGGCTATATGTTGATTCTGTGACAAACAGACTGAACAGAAGCGATAGAATTCTACCAATATATATGCCCAAAACATCACCTGCCGCGGTGGAAACGGGATTGCGTTTGGATCATTAGGTCAATACCGCGACCTCGTGAGTTCCGTTCGTGCTCTGCAATTCTTTATCCGGCTGACGATGGATCAGTTTGACCATGTCGAGAACGTTACTATGGAAGACTTACATGTGAGTGAGCTCATGTATCCTGAGACTATCTAGTCTAATGATATCAAATATGATGCTAGATGGTGCACCTCGACTCGAAAGTTCAGCCAAATATGGGTAGCGGGGTAAGGTAATACGAGCGTATCGCGAGGATCACTGCTGATTTAGCCATCGCAAGGCATACTTCAAGTCATGGACTGGAACGACGATCGGTTTTCCGCCAATTGATGGAGGAGGAGGCCTCGGTAAGTGCTACGACATCCGCGATGTCTTGCATTCTCACGTACGTAGGTCTGGTTACCAACATCACGATTCGCAACATGGTGCTGGATAACGTCAGTCTGCCGATGCATATCTACCAGACGAATGGAGGCCTTCCGTATGTACCAATCTTCCATCATTCACTATCTACGAAGCTCATAGCTTCCTCAGCGGAGATGCGCCTTCGAAGCTACAGTTCGCCAATATAACATTCTCAAACTGGACAGGGACCTCGTCCGGCAACGTCGGTGTGTACTCAACCATCCAGCAGGTTACTGCAGAGCATATGCTGACATGTGTTCGCAGTTGTGGATTTCGAATGCAGTCCCGCCGCGCCGTGCCCCGGGATGGCGTTCCAGGATATTAACATCACTGTGCCCAGCGGCGAGCCAGAATATGTGTGCTTGAATGTCACGAGTGAGACGGGACTACCAGGTAATTCCGTCATGCCAGCTTGTGTATGCAGCTCATGAGCAAGCGTTTCACAGGATGCAATGCTACGGTGCAATCGTGAGCAGCATGAGTTTTGGGGAGGATGGGTGATGTTGGGACGCGCTTTTCAAGTAGTTGCACGTCTCGGGAAACAAAGAATCCGTTGCTGCCGCTGTAAGGGTGCAGATAGCATTGAATGATCATTTTGCAATGGCAGAAAAGCCTCAGCGCTTAGCGATGGTGAAGGCGACGGTTTGAGCGCTTATAGCACTAGGTACTCAGCGTCACTTCCGCTCCAGTCAACATCTTTTGAGTCACTGGAGTATGCCTCTTACACGATGACTGTCACTGCATACTTCGATATCTATATAGGCGACCGAGGCGAGCACGCTCGCGCCGTAGCGAACTATGCTGCCACGTCTGCATTACTCTTCAAGAACGCTGCGATCTACGGCTTGCCGGCTACACCTCAGGAGTTGACGGAAGAGCAGCGAGAAATTCTCCAGGAGCTTGATGTACTGCAATGACATTCGGGACGTCTGCGCGAATGTGCTCATAGTCGCTGGCTGCAGAGTTCAATGCAAATGCGTTTTACGCCACCGAGGCCGTTGCTTGTGGGCAGGCTGGTGTTCGAGTTGGATGCGTCACCTGGGCTCGCGAAGACCACGGCGAACTTCCTTGCGCTGTGCACGGGAGAGAAGGGACAGTGCAAGAATGCACCGAACAAGAAGCTGCATTACTTGGATTGTCCGATACATCGTGTAGTGAAAGGCTTCGTAGCGCAGGGAGGAGATGTTACCCGAGGTGATGGCAGCGGTGGCGAGGTATGCACACCGTTCTCATCCCTTCGTATGTGCAGCATACCGACAGTTGTTTTTCTCTGACGGGTCCCCTCGCAGTCGATCTACGGTGGAAAGTTCAACGACGAGAGAGAGGGCCTCAAGAGAAAGTTACGCAAGGGCTCGCTCGCGATGGCCAACTCGGGCAAGAACACCAACACGTCGCAGTTCTTCATCGTCCTCACTGACGACCAGAGCAAGCTTACCAAGATGCAAGGGAAGTATGTTGCGTTCGGAGACCTGAAGGAAGGCTGGGACGTGCTGTCGTCATTGGAGGAGATCGGCGACAGCGACGGCAGGCCGCAGCAAGCAGTGTGGATCGGCGGGTGTGAACGCTGGTAGTGTCCCTCTTCGCCTGACATCCGCTACCGTCAAGGTGCATAGCTACATGCTTCGTCTAGCGCCAAAGGTCCTTCGATATCACCGGCTAACACGCCCTCGATGATGTGCATATTGGGACGATGGCTTCCCTGCATCTCTGAGGGAGGCACGGGTTTCATTGCATTCTACTTGTCGAAGGTAGAGAGACATCCGGATCCTCATCTTTTGAGGCCTCGTTCATACCCTCTTTCCATTTCTGATACGCCGCTGCTCCGGAAGTTCTTCGCTTGCGACCTCGTGCAAGATTCCCTCCGTGTGCAGAATATCATTAGTGCGCATCACATCTTGATATGTCACTTCCGCGAAGGACGAGCAAAGGACCTGACCTATATCTGCTGCCAGAATTGAGGGCCACATGGCATATATCACTCTAGACCTGACAACTGGCCCCTCACATTGATCAACAACAAAGCCTATGGTTGCTTGGCGGGATCATAGAAGACTGCAAACTGGCAGTTCGTACCTGGATAGAAGCAGTTTGAGATGCAGCCCTCCTTCCGTGATTGAGCATGGGACGGTCGAATCCAATCTCGGTTCACGCCGCTGATACGGTGGGATGTATGTGACAGCCTGAGTGGCGGGATTCATTGAGTTTGTGGGTCGGATCTGCCAGTGAGCCCGAATAAGCTTCAAGGCGATGCTAACGAACATCATGCATCAACAACTCTTCTGATATCCGTACGTGCAGATCCGTCCATCTACGAAGGCGGCAACTGTCTATGAGAGTGGTGGACGGACAGAAGTGACCGGATTGTCTTACCACCCGGTCAATGGCTGAGAAAACGTCAAGGCAAAATTTTGCGTCCTGTCGAGACACGGGGCCGCGGCGAACATTGAATGATAAGCGCCAGCATCGAACATGGTGAGACGTTATGCAATTTCGGGTAGACATAGATACATCCAAAATAGCCCAACAATACAAACTGCCGCTGCGACTCCATCCCAAGACCACGTCAAAAGAACAATACAACGAATGCATAAGATAGCGAACAATAACACAGAGGCGTCTGGACTCCAGATAATGCGTGCAAAGGGGGAACGAGCGCTTTTCTCGCAGGCATTCAGGCAGTGAAGACCCCAGATGTGTCAAGAGGATATACTACAGTACAGAAAGTGATATAAGGTACGATATGCCATTAAAGCGCGACGGCAACCGCGCCAATGGCGACGAGGCCCGCGAGGGCGTTCACGCCGTGGGACATTGCGCCAGAGGATGATTTGGTGCTGCTAGCGCTAAAGAAGCATATGACGGTGTGAGAACAGTAGGAATAGCCGGGGAGAGATACTCACGAAGCGGCGGTAGATGTGGAGGTAGCCGTGGCGCTGCTCGTGCTGGATCCCGAAGCAGTTGCAGAACCAGATGTAGATGCGGCACTGCTCGCGGTTAAGGTCACACCCTACAGAATCATGGTGTCGAGGTGATATGTCGGACAATCAACATCAAGAAGAGCGGGAAGGAAACAGGGCACTCACGACCGCGAGACAGAGCTGCTGGGCATACTCCTCGGCCTCGGTGAGGTCGCTCCCGGTGCAGGCGCTCTCGATGCAGGAGGTGACGCTGTCAACGAACGTCTTGTCATTGCATAGACAGCTGTCATCGCTTGCGTTGCAGCCATCGAGATTGGCGTTCGTCAAGCAGGTGTCTGCGCAGGCTGCGGCAGAAGATTCAGCGGTTTGTAGCGCGATAAACGAGTGATCGAAACATACTAGGGAGGCTCTGGCGTTTGAGGATAACGGCGTTGGCGGCGACGAAGGCACCAGAGAGGGCAACGAGAATGGCGGTAAAACGCATATTGTCAGCGGGAGGTAGTGCAAGAGTGAAGTTGGACACAAGAAAGCACTGGCTACAGGAGAAGGTCGAAAGAGAGGTGCACCAGCGACTGGAGGCTCGAGAGGCGAGTTGCTACGAGTATTTCGGTATCCAGCAGACTTTATAGGTTCCCGGTTGCCGAGACTCGACGCGGCTAGCAATGCTTCGGAGCGTGGGGGGCTGAGAACAAACATTTTGACCAATTAATGTTCCTGCTAGCCGCTCTCACGGGTCCTTTGTTCCTGAAATTGTGATTCGAACGGCAATGATGTTCTGACGCGATCTTAGCCGGGAAACAAGCGGAAGGAAGCCGTGGCAATCTAGGCGACCGAGACAGCGAGCAAGCGTAATAGGGAGTCCCATTGTCGGGGGTGGGTGCATGGCGGGTGAGCAACGGGTGAGAGGCATTGTGCGTCGGGACAACACCTGCCTCTTTCGGCCATGCGCGTTTAGCGATGGGCGCTCGCACCGGAATCAATTGCCACGTGAGTTGAGTGCAGATCGCACGCGAGGCTAGGCGTCGAGTTCTCCCGATACGGTAACCTCCGCGGATCTAGCCTCCAACTATACAGTTCCCTCCAGCCACCAAACCTTACTTTCTCCTCGCCACCAGAAACAAACAGTGCCAAAGTGGCGGGAGACTCGCTCGCGTGTAGCCCGTGTCCGCTCACCGACTGCGACAGCTTCAAGACATGGTATGCCGTTCTGCTGCTGGCCTGTGGCACTCATCTGACGTACCATTGATGTACAGGCCCCCTCCAAATCCTCCACGAAAAAGGTGCGATCCGAGAGCCACTCTTAATGTTCTCATTATGCTAAATGTTATATGTCCTCCGTCTCCGCCGCTCCTCATCTTTCAATCCTCTGTCGCCCGTGATTCTTGTCTACTGGGATACTCGGCGACCACGATGTTCAGACCGGCAAGACGCGCTCGGCCCTCCAAGATGTCGTGACCCGCGAATACACCATCCACCTGCACAAGCGCGTGCACGGCCGCTCGTTCAAGAAGCGGGCTCCCTGGGCCGTCAAGTCTGTCGTTGACTTCGCACAGAAGGCGATGGGCACGACAGATGTCCGGATCGACCCCAAGCTCAATAAGGCGTTGTGGGCACGGGGTATCAAGTCGGTTCCTCACAGAATACGGGTCAGGCTTGAACGTGCGCAGTGCAGCTCTGGTTGGTGTGGTGTTCTAGTTCGCTGATTAGCGTATTCGATATACAGGTAAGCGGAACGACGAGGAGAACGCGAAGGAGAAACTGTACACATACGCGACTCACGTTGAGCTCGAGTCCTGCGCGGTGCGTTGGGCCTTCGTATTTTCCTTGACGTTGACTGCTCATCGTTTTGCAGGGCCTCCAAACGACGGTTGTGGATACCGAGTAATTTATGTACATCCTCTCAGTCGCCGGGGAGAAGGTCGATGGGTCTTGTCTGCTATGGTTTGTGTTGGCCACTCCATGCCTCTGTTATGCATGCACTCTATACGCTCTACGCCGCGCTTTTACCCTGTTTCATGTTTAGCGACCAAGACATGCTGTCGCTTTCGTGCTGTGCAGGCAACCCATATGTCCACGCTGTTCCTTTCTCTGTGGACTAAGCTGACTACTCTCGCGAGCGCATGCATGATGAAATGCTTGAGATGAATACAGTGCAATTCAAGCCAGAAAACAGAAATGCGAAAGCATCACAAATGTCCGTTAAATATTGTCCGTCTATACTAATGTCTCATGCTCCGATCATGCCGTACTCTCACTGCATCTGCGCTCATCGACTTGTTCGGCATACGCTCCCAGATAGGGTCAACGTCTGGACCATCGAGATCACCCGCGCCGTCCCAACCCCAACACCATACTGCACAGCCTGGTAAGCTATCCAGAAAGCCGAAGAGGACAAGGGAGCGCTCACCATAGTCGGGTCCTGGCTGGAAGTCAATGGGTATGCTCTCTTCGTCGGTGAAGAGCCGGTCATGAGGCCCGAACCACGCACGGTCTTGTGGATCCGTTCGCGGGTTGTCGGGCAGGCCACCGAGGCGGACGTACCCTCGGATGGCAGTGAGGTTTCTTCGCCCAGGGTGGATGATGTCGTATACTCTCTGTGCATACCGCTTAAGCCAACAGAAACCTCTTGAAGCGAGGCAACCCACCGAATCATAGGCGAGTTTCACACGTGGGACCATAAGAATTCGTCCATAGCCAACCTCCCAGTAGTCGTTGCAGATCAAACTGCACTCGGACGCAGAGCATTCGCCGTCAACGATGCGCGCCATGCGGAAGCGGACGTGCGGAGGCGAGTAGAATGGCGCGGGGTCGAGCACTGCGATACCGTTCCAGCAAGACTGGACCTGGATCGGCAAGTGCCTTTGAAAGCGGTCTTGCGATGCACCGTGGTGGAATACCGACTCAAACGGTGCATTCTCAAGGGCAGTGCCATTGATGTCTCGCGCGACCCAGTTGTCGTAGAATACGGGAGAGCCCTGTGAGACGGTGAGCAGTGAGACGACCGAGCACAGACGACAGGCGTACTAGTTCCTCGTGGTACATATAGTCGGCGGCGCAGGTGATGCCGGCATTATTTCGCCGGCTCTGCCAGATAAGCTCGAGCAGGTCATCGACGCACGGGAGGACGTCGTTCATGAAGATGATGGTATCGAAATACTCATTTTCTGCGTCGCGCAGCTCATGCAATGGCACGAACGCGGCGTTACGCACCTCGGCGAGGTACTCGATGCGGTGATTGAATGCACCACGCGTGCGCATCGACGTGCGGATCGTGACGCGCATGCCGACTGAACGGCAGAGCGCGTCAAAGATGCGCAGCAAGGCCTTCGTCTGGTCCGTCGATCCGTTCTCGTAGATCGACACGTACACGTTGTGGTACCCCAGGATCGCAGCCACGCGGAAGAGCGTCGCAAACAGGTCCGGGATGATGTCGAACGAGTTGTACAGGTTAATCGCGAAAAAGTACTTGTGGCTGTCCGCCGTGAGCTGCCGCGACGGCGGGATGTAGTCACCCTCGGCGCCCGAGCTGAGCCTAAGCGTGTCGAGCCAAGAGGTCCGTGAGGGCGACTCGTGCCCGATGAGGGACGCATACCGCTCCTCCGCTTGTTCTTTGTACACTGACTGAGCATGACGCGTACACTCCTTTGTGTAGTGCGGTGATAGCGATGTCAGCAGTTCGAGTACGCGGAATCGTTCCTCGAGCGTAGGCATACTGATTGGCTGCCGTAATCGTGTTGGATGGTATGCAGCTGGGGTGTGGCTACCTCTCCAAGTCGCAGGTGATGGCTGTGAGAGTGCGACATGTCAGTAAATACCGACTCCGTGTCGTTCTCGATTGATATAGGCTTTATAATGATAGCGCACGGCGAAAAGCCATAGGCTCTCGTCCTCTATTAAAGTAGCCTGTAGACATTACATGTCTGCAGGCTATGCCAGTACACTAATTTGCTGCAGAAACAGCTCGCGACTGTGCCAAGTGCAAGACCCGGGAAGCAATTGTTTCTAATCGATTATCTGCGCTGAGTAGCGTGTGGTCGTCCAAAATGCCTCAACACTGAGACAGCAATTTGGATAGATCCACACAGAACCACGTCTGCACGAGCTGATCATACCAATCTCACGAAATGCATATTCTCTCCAATTAGAGTGCATCGAATAACATGTGGACTTAGAAAAGGTGCACAGACGCCATAATGCTTTATCCGCGATCTTTCTGGTATTGCAGAAATGCGAGGAGATGCGAGGAGATGTTGTGAACGTAACTCACCTCAGCTGTGAAGAGACTCGCGAGAAATATGCCCACGCATACTCCCAAGGATAAGGAAACCCATGTTGGCAACCGTTTGAAAGGGTTATTGCTTCTCGGCTGCATTGTTCATTCAAGGCTACAGCACAAACCAGGTGTGTTGCGAGCAATTTTGATATGAATAGAGATTGACCATATGATCTTGACACTTACCGGTCCTCAGTTATGGTGATGATAGTCACCCGCAAGGTCCACTTGAGACCGTGACAGTCGTACACAATTGCCCAATCCCACTAATGTGCCCCTTTTCCCGTAGTGGGTCTTTGAGATAGTACCGCCCGAGCCCCGTAGATTCGGAGGCCTATGCCCGTTGTCTCAGAGCGCTGAGCCTTCTGGACCTGGTGTGCAAGCTGCCGAGAGGGAAGCGAATTAGATACGACCAAGCTTGCAGTCCGTGGTCGGACGTCGTTAGCGTGGCCGTCGCGAAGCAATGTACAGTAAGCTAGGAGGAGAGTACTGAAGAAGGGAAATGAGTTGGTGGCAGGAGAAAGAGGGGGACATGATCGGTTTCGGTGCAGACAGCCAAGACTAGTGAGCTGTAAAACTTGATGACCGACCACGACTAGCCGCTTTCCCTATTACCATCATTCACGGCTCTGACAACGTCGAGCTCGCTTTATGCAGCGACGTTCCGGCAAAGGATTCGTCCACATCTCCTCACCGTTGGGCTTCGAACGCATGGGTTCAGACTCAGAAAAGGCCCCCTCTCGTCTCAACCAGAAGACATTGGGCGTAACGAACAGAATATGGCTCATTCTTGCTGTCTTCCTCTCCCTCATCCTCCTCACGCGATCTATATTGCCTTCTGAGAGCCAGACAACACGACATAGAGTGCTCTATTCTGATCTGAAGCCGAAGAACTACTTGAACATCAGCGATCAGGATGCAATGCCATTTGCCTTCTGCCCCGCGCTCGGTCCTGGTGACGAATTGGCATCCAAGTACGACCCGGTTGCCCTGTCGAAAACCCGTTTTCATACAGGAAGCGGGGCTCGTATTCATCGAGTTATCAATAAAGCGCTGTCAGGGCTGCCAGTGACCATTAGCGTGCTGGGAGGTTCCGGTGAGTACATTCCGTGCCCATCTTTCCATTTGCTCTGCGTTCCAATATATACGGCCGCGGCACTTTGGTATGCTCTTTCGGTGACGCGATGGTCCTTGGTGGGAGACGGATTGCGCAGTGGTTTTCATCAAACGGACTTGCCCCTGTGCGCATCGAACTGCTCCCACGCATGGATGCTTCTCATGTTGTACGTCATCGTTCGGCGACACGATATTGCTTGAGATTTCACAGTTTTGCATACAGAGGTGTTCCTACTGAAGTGCTGCATTCTGCATGCTCTAGCTACTGTTGGCACACCAGTGCTGCAGCTTGCCTCATGCTAAATCGCCTTGAATTGGGTTACTGACTTGCGCTCTTGCTTTCAGTATCCGCTTGCCATGGCGCAGGTGATGACCCTTTATCACCCACTTGCTATCCTTCAAAGTTCTTCAATTGGTGGAACGGCGTATTCCCCCACCCTGCCTCTGAGCTTACGAACGGCGCTATGCGACGCACAAATTCTGCATACTTTGCATTCTGCCACGCACATCATATACCTGACGTCACCGACCTGGTCATTGTAGAGCTGGACGTTGCTGATGCGAAGTATGTTCTTGGTGTATATCATCGGTGGACCAACAATCCTCATCATTGATGTAGCGACCAAGTGTCTCTAGAGGAATTTGAGCTGCTCATTCGATCGATTTTGATCCGCCCGGACCAGCCAGCTGTACTCATCCTGGGTCACTTCAGCCCGCAGGTCACAGAGGCAAACGGGTTCGGTGGTCCTGATCACTGGCATACCCTGGTGGCGCAGTTCTACGATGTACCGCATGTCAGGTTCGTACCAAAGCATACCATGAATGACGGTACTTATTCGCCATCTCAGCGTCAAGCCGTTGCTCTATCCCAGCTATATGACGAATCCTTCAGCCATTAACCGATACTTTGTCGACGCAATGTTGGCAAACCCCTCAGGCCATGACATTATCGCGGACGTCCTAATATCCTACTTCCAGTCACAGATTTGTGCTGCATGGGGTGGTCTTACTGGCCAGTCTCATGAGCTCCTGCCCGCTTTGGCCACACCGATCTTTGCTGACAACGCGAAGCTTCCAAGCGATGCACGAGGATTATTCGGGGGCGTCGCGCAGCGTAAGGGTGCAGCCGGGGCTGCTGCGCCGGAGGCAAACTGGGCTCAACGTGAAGATGCCGCGAACGGCAATCCCAACCGTATACTGTTACCCGAGCCAAACGTGAACTTGAAGGTGCCCTCATTGCACCAGAACCTTCGTGTACCACAAATGCGGATCAACAGTCGACCAGCCGATTTGGAGGCACATCCATTCGTCGAAGTTGCTCCGTACTGCGTCTCAGCGAACGATTTGATCAACCCTCTCCCAGTCTCCATGTTCGCCGGTTCAGGATGGGCAGCGTTCCACCCGCGCCCGGGTTCTGCGGACTTATCGTCGCATGCGCATTATTTCTACACGTCATTGCCGACGAGCAAGATGCGCGTGAGCATACAAGTGAGCGCGGGCGATGTCGGCGTGTACTACGTGAAGGAACCCAGCAGCAATGTGGGGCTCGGTAGCGCGGTCGAGTGTTGGGTCGACGACAACTTTGCGGGAGCGGTGGTAATAGAGAATGCCGCACCAGTTGGAGAGCCAACGCCTGCGTACGTTCTTCGTACATGGATTAGTACTGGGATGCTGACCGCTCCTTCTCATCTCTAGATTGGAGATGATTGACCACCAGGTCTCCACGGGACCACATTTCGTCGAGTGTCAGCTCATGGGAGAGGAGGATGACAGAGACATTCCTGCGTTCAGGATTATTGGTATCTTCGCCACCTGAGGGCTTTAATCTTTGGACCGCATCAGAGGTGTGCCCACAGTTGCCACTGTTACCTTACGCCTGTAATGCTTCTGTATGCATGTATGTTAGCTCGCGGGTAATAACAGTGTGTGGACGATTATCACGGCCACCAACACGTAAAGTGTTGCTGATATGTGGGTGACGGCCAAAAGATGAATGAATGCGTGCTTAACAAGTGACAAGCAAAAATGTGGACGTTGAGGGGTTTGAACCCTCGACCTCATGCAATTAATCCAAAAGGTGCAAAGCATGCGCGCTACCACTGTGCCAAACGCCCGTTGTGAATAAGAACCTTTAATAATCCATGTACAATATAATTAGGAATGGATTTGACACATTCCATGATCAAAGCAGAAAGTCCAGGAGACCATGAAAGGTATGGTATAGACAAGTACATTTAGCAATATCAACAAATGTGACAGGCGGACAGAAGCAATATGAAGACAAATCGCTCAGCTCATCGTGGAACGGGCATGCTTACACGAAGTCACCTCTTTCCGCGTGGTCGGTTCCCTTCAATGCGCCTGTCGCCTCGAAGTCCGCGAACGGGTCATCTTTCTCTAGCTTGCTCTTGTCATAGCTTGAGCCATACGTGCCCAAGTCGTCTCCGGACTCAGTGTACATGGGCGGCTTCGCCCCGCCATATGGCAGGTCGTCCTCTTTGCTGGGGTCATACACCGGCGCGGGTGGCGCGTCATATTCAAGGTACGGCGGGTTGTAGTGCACCGGATACCCTCCCTCGCGTGGTTCTGTGTCGGTGACGCGTACACGGGTGACGTTGGCGGCGCTGGTGGGGTCGTTGAGCTGGTGGAAGTAGGCAAAGGCAACCGAGCTGAAGAATGCAGTGATGACTGTTATTAAACGTCAATGGTCTGGTATTGCCTGGGACAAGAAACTTCGAGCGCACCGATCTCAACAATCAGAGATAGGATTTCTACGAAGGAGTCATGATGCCAGATGTCCTTGCAATCTGCAGTGACCATACCCACGTCAAGAACTTCTATCCAGTGCGCGAAAAGTGCTCTTACATGAGTTTGCTTCATCTTGCGTAAGTTTTGTCTCGTATGTCGTGCCCCAAAATCCGAAAACCTGCATGTGCGCGTCTTCGACAGTCAAAGGCAACTCTATCACGTGAGTAGTTACGTACGGAAACAACAACGTCTCCCTGCGAGATCGTTGTGCATTCATTAATGAGGTCATTCTACGAGATCGGCAACGTGAGCAATCGTGATACCAGCCTCAACAGCATCCTACGTGCCTTCAAAATGAAGTGAACGATGACTCTCATCAGTGCTGCTCCGACCACAAGGCCAGCAGAGACGACCGAGAGCATTGCATATATCCGCGCCATCCATAACCGTTGCTGCGCACCCAGTAAACATCAGATGCATGATTATACTATTGAAGTGCTGCTGCATGGCGCACCGAGACGGCAGTGGCGATGCCGAACACCTGCACTCCGCAGACTCCTGCATATAAGGAGCCGACAATGATGGCAAACGTAGCAAGTTTGGCCGTTCCATCTGTGAAACATGTAAGTCACTAGTCCATGGCATTAGCAATGCATTCGTGACGCACAATCCTTATCCACGTTGATGGAGCGGAAACAGCTTATCTACACGAGATCAATGCTCAACGTCCGGTAACAACGTGGATGCGCATGAAGCAAACACACCGCCCTACGACCTATGCATAAGCGGGCGTGACACGACTGGGTGAATTGAACAGCTCACGCTATGAGTGACCCTATTGCCGAGACGGTGGCAACTGCAGAATACGAGAGAGCTCGGTGAGTCTTGCATCGAGGGATGCTCTTAGCGTGGTCTTACCGACGGCGACCACTGGTCGCAGGTTGTTGTTATATGCGCGCAGGAGTATGTTCGTCCCTGGTGGCCACATGAATCGCCCATGCTGAGCATGCGCCTGGTATCGCGTCCAACAGAACACATACCTCGCTTCGATGGCGGTCTCGTACTCATCCCGTGGAAGCTCTTCGGCAGGAGGCGATGGACTCGCACGCTCAAGAATGGTATATATAAGCAAAACGGTCGCAGAAAAGCTGTTGGACGTTAGGGTTCTCGACAGGTGATTGCCAGGCGGGCGCTGCGGACTGCACGAGTACACTGCGGATCGTCGAGGACTACGTTGGGCTCAGCCCGTGTGTCGAAGAGCACAGGCGGTTGATGGAAGTTACAAGGCGGGAACACAAAGCTGGATATGGGATTTTATGTCAAGCGTGGGCCGCTATTGGCACAGGGCCGTTTGGCGCTAATGCCGGCCACATCGGTCGGGCAACGTATTCGGAATCATAATACGCCGCTCGATGACAATACGTGCCATTATTGTGCCAGCACAAAAACCCACCAATGGCAAGCGTGGTCTAAAACAGGTCCTGGTTCCCGAAAGACAGATGCGAACAAACAGAGTGGCAACGGCGCGAGGCAGCCACACAGGCACCCCAATGAATCATATCTCACGTCTGCTACATGTCATGCAGAGATGCAGCGACATTGCCATACATAGCAAAGAGGCGGTGCATCACCTGCGGCGTGCTCGGGCTTGTGTCGCAGTGGTGGGAAGAGAGTGACTGGAGGACCAATAGCGGACACTTGAATCGACATGGTGTGGCTGAATTTATGCGGACACGAACAAAGCTTTGAGCGGCTTCTTGGAGTCTTGATGTGCGATTGCACCACAGCCAGAGATTGAACCTTGAGTAAGAACATCTATCGACAAGCATGGCATGTGCATCAGATGATGCTGGTTTCACACGGCAGTCGCAAAGAAATGGTGGTGGAAAACCACTGGATGCAAATTCGCATCGCAAGCACGCCAGACTTCCCAATGGCACAGAATCTGTCCCACATAAATGGACGCCTGCTATAACAATCGAGGATTAAGCAACCGAGTTGATGAGACACAGTATGGCTCTTCAGGACGTCGCAGAAACCATTCAAAGCAGTATCACACTCGGCCAGCCTGCGGCGGCGAAGCAATCAGGACATTCAGAACGAGTAAACCGAGAGCGAATGAGCACATTTAAGCGCCCTCTCACGCTACCGTAAGAGCTTCGGCGACTGCCGGGATACTATGCAGTTGTAAGCCACCCGATCCCTCATTTACCACATTGAGTATTGTCGTCGGCGCGGGCCCCAGCAAGTTCAAGGTCAAGGTGAGTCGACATCACACGAGTGTCACTGCAAGTAGATAGGGCTGAGTCGCTAATTTCAGGCATTTACACCGTTACCGAGGTCGCTAATGTGAGTAATTTATGGTCAATCGCATTGCTGGAGGCGTAAGGGGCGATGCAGCGGTGGCTGAGAATAGAGAGGAGGATCCGAAGGCGAGATTGCGGAACTGATGAGTGAGAGGGGAGAGGAGGGCGTGGCGGCCGTAAGGCTATCAAGTTGATGAACGGTGCGCTGACCTTGCATATTCACAGCTTCACCAATGGCCCAACGCGTCACTCTTCGCAAGCGCACTCCGTACAACACCACCTCGAACCGCCGACGGATAGTGAAGACACCAGGCGGCAAGCTTGTCTACCACCACCTGAAAAAGCTTGCGACTGCGCCCAAGTGCGGAGATTGTGGCATCAAGCTGCCGGGTGTATGCCCACTTCTTTTTTGACTGAGCGCATTTCGGTCCTTATGTTTGCATCGGAACTGTATAGATCGTTGCCCTCAGACCCCGTCAATACGCGACGGTCTCCAAGACAAAGAAGACGGTGAACCGTGCGTACGGTGGCTCGAGATGCGGTAACTGCGTAAAGCAGCGGTATGTCTCACCCCATTTTTTCGACTCATGCGCGGGCCCTCATCCATTCATTTGCAGCATCCTCCGGGCGTTCCTCGTCGAGGAGGCGAAGATCGTCAAGAAGGTGATAAAGTCACAGGAAAAGACAGGTGGAAGGAAGTAGATTGACTTGCCTCCCGCTCCCCTCTCTTTTCTACCACCTGCGGCAACGCAGGGTCCTCGGGCTGCAGAGGTTCATCTCCAGTATCGCGACGGCGCTCTTTATGTCTTCCCTGTCACTCGCTATACATGCATGTATACTGCTATCTTATGACCACCAGAACGACGACTGATGGAGTCAGTATATATGCGGTACATGATCGGTTAATTCGGTTAATGTCAAGGGCCAGCTGATGCTATCGCGGAGGATCTGCCCGTTTTGTCGCCACTCACTCTATCATGTTCCTGTCTTCGCGTACCATGAGCGCGGAGAGCACCATTATGCTCATCTACAGTTTCCCTGATATTGCGGCACGACGCTAGTAGCGCACGGGTGTTCGGCTGTGGCGGCGATCGTGAGTATGAGAGAGCTAATAGCTGACTGAGGTCCGTGCACGTCCGCCCACATATCTTGCATCTTGCAGTCTTCCCCTCCCTGTCCACGTCTCTCACTCCTGCATTCTGCGACCCGTGAACTGCAAACCATCTGTGACCAGCACTAGAATGGCTGCTAAGCGCCTCAGTTCCGCCCAAGATTACCAGCGTTTGCTGGATCGCTATGATACCTGGCTGCTCGATTGCGATGGTGTGCTCTGGCAAGGCGACCGTTTGGTCGACGGTGTTCCCGAGGTACTAAACCTTCTCCGGGAGCGCAGTGCGTATGTCCAGCACTCAGCCGTATTAGATGACAGACGTGCTCATAGATGCTATGTATCAATTCAAGAGAAGAAGATATTCTTCGTCACGAACAATGCAACCAAGTCGCGGAAAAACTACAAGAAGAAATTTGACCAACTCGGGGTTGCGGCGGAGGTGGTATGTGCTGCGCGTTGCGTTAGACGAGTGCAGATGCATGAAGCGACTTCGCGGTGCACAGGAAGAAGTGTTTGGCTCGGCGTATGCGTCGGCTGTCTACATATCATCCGTAATGAAGCTCCCGAAGGACAAGAAGGTCTATGTGATTGGCATGAAAGGCCTCGAAGAGGAGCTCGACGAAGAGGGCATCGCCCACATCGGCGGGACGGTCAGTTGCACCGTCGCCTCCACTGCATATAGCCTTATACTGTCCTCAATCGCAGGATCCAGCGGACAACACGCTCGAAGAATTCCACCTCAAGAACTTCGAGCCCGACCCAGACGTCGGCGCCGTGCTCTGCGGTCTCGACACTAGCATCAACTATACCAAGCTTTCGAAGGCCTTCACATACCTCCATCGCAACAAAGATTGCGCCTTCCTTGCCACCAACACCGACAGCACCTTCCCAAGCGCCGAGGGTCTCCTCCCGGGCGCTGGCTCCATTAGTGCTCCCCTCACATGCGCGCTGGGCCGGGACCCGGTTAGCATCGGCAAGCCTGCGAAGACAATGTTGGACTGCATCAGGGCTAAGTAAGCATGCATGCCACCTTCTATCAGCACCGTGACAGTGGACTGCATGTGTGCAGGTACCGATTCGACCCTGAGCGGACCATTATGGTGGGCGATCGGCTGAACACGGACATCGAGTTCGGCAAGGGTGGAGGGCTCGCAACCCTGCTCGTGCTGACAGGTATGCGTATCAAATGCTCTGCTGCGGGCCGCATCCTGGGCTAATCGCTGCGTCAGGAATCACGCACGAGTGGGAGATCACAGGACCGAATCCATCGACAACCATCCCAGACTATTTCACCAACTCTATCGGAGACTTGCGCAACGCAAACTAACGAGACGGACCAGTGGGCAATAGATCTAGAAGATTAGACGTCGACGTAGGTTTAGAACATGAGATATCCGGGTACTACCGCTGCTTGCCCTTTTGTTTCTTTGCCGGAACCTGACTGGATATGATATCGGTCTCTGCAAGCCAAGTCACAACGCTCGTGACTAAGGCGGTGAGAGACCCGGCAATGTATCCAAAGATTGCGCCGAACGCAGGGGTGAGTGGCCATGCCTGAGAAGATGCTGAAATTAGTCTCGCGCGAAGTCTGCAACTCTACTAAGGGAAGCGTACCTGCCAGGGCCTGTCCCAGTCAAGGCCAATGGGGATGGCCCCGGACCAACAGCCGAGCATAGCGCCGATCGCTGGATACACCATGGTCCGTTCCAATGGCGTCCGTGGCCTGGTATTTGTAGTTAGGGTGAGAGGAAGTGAAGAGAGAAGCCAAATCGGAGAGATAGCAATGAGAACGACCGGCGGGAGCATTCATTTAGAAATATCGAGTTGTAAGGTGAAACAGGAGACGCACGAGAGCTCAGCGAAGAGTCGGATCCAGGTCAACCTAATCAGCAGAGATTCCGTGTTGGATCCCATAGTGGGCGGGCCGAGCGCATATGCGGGCGTCCAAATCGTCAGAAGCGCGAGAAGCAGGGCAAGATAGTATGTCTGGAATACATGACTGGGAGAAATCTCAGTGACTTTACGCGGCTGCTAGAGAGGTAACGTCAAGAACTCTAAATGTCATCATTACCTCGCGATAGGTGCGCCAAAGAACACAAGCACGACATGGAAAGCAACCGACACTATGGCCGTTGCGGCGAATGCGCCTTTGAATGTCTAAATGCACACAGCACGGAAGACTGAGTGGCACTCTTGCTAGGCCGAGAATGCGGAACGCACCTCCACCCAGAGATCATTGAGGAACCGTCTGCGCATCTTCTGCTTGGTCAACTCGGCTGCATCCTGCTTCCCCGTCGCTGCCTCTCTGGCCTCGACAGACCAGGTCTTCAGCCAGTTTGACCACCAGGCCTGTATGATGAATGTCCCGAGACACATCCACGCAACTGTTTGCGTCGGATTCGACGTCAACAGCGTCATGGCATCGGACGGCGCGTCCTGAGAGCCTCCAGTGTCAACATGACGGCGTTGGAAGGGAGATAGGCTTATGAGGAATGAGAGATCTGTACGGGGCAGATAGAGAGCGGTGAAGACCAGCAGGCAGACGTGCACGCCTGTTACCGATATGTAGCGTGCGAAGGGAAAGGGCGGCGACGCATCTGCCTTCCCTTCAGCATTGGACGGATCTGACTTTGTCTGCGACGACTGCGAGACGAGTGCTTTAGCCTTACGGAGGCGCAATGGCAGCGACATAGCAGGTGCTGAGCGACGTGGACGCTCGGGAGCGCATTGTTGGACTGATCTCTCACGCTCCCGCTCTTCGTCCTCTTCGATCGCGACGAAGACCACACAACGTCAACCGAACCGAGAACGGGCCTTGCATACTCACTGCAAGGCAGATGCTGTTCTGGCGATCTTCTGTGTAATTCATGCTCTTCGGCTCATCGCACGGCTAGCCCCGCCGTCAGGACTAGATTCGGACCTCGCTGCTTGCCCGCTGAGGACCGTCGAAGCCTATATTCCACGTTCAAACGGTCGATCTAGTGCTCTGAATCGGCAGAGTTATTCTTGTGTGGCTCTGGACCCTGATGCATGATGGCCAAGGTAGGCGAATTGCGGATACCAGTAAGAATTTCACCGTCGCTCAAAAAGACTCAGTCGCTATGGCATTCTTGTACTCATTTCCGAGCCTTCGAACGTTTGTGTGGCAGACGGCGAGCCATGAAGACACCGTCAGAATGCGCCCCGTCTCATCGAATTGCCACTCTCATCTTGTCGGCACGTACTGTGTGGGAGCTGACTAGACCATACAAGGCGTCTTTAGTGACTACCCTCCTTCGGATGTGCGTTGATCGCTCCTGAGAGCTCTTGGTGAGTAATCAATTAGCTACATGTGGACTGCAAGCGTTCTTGAGGCTGTGGGCACCGGGCTACCTTCATTTCCATAGGTCCGAAAATATCGTCCGACGCCGTCGACAAGACGCCAGCCCTTTCCTTTGCTTCGCCGTTTGCCGCAATCGTGAGCTTCAGAGAGATTGACGGAGCGCTCCGCCTAGATCCCTGTCGCTTCAGACCGGGCCTTCATCAGCGAAGCGCAGCATGCATCAAAGTCGAGAACTCGCCTAACCTAATTGCCACCGCGGCTGCAGGCATGTCATCCCTTGGTAGGCTATCTTATCGTGAGCCTCCCTAATACTGGAGTTTGTCCTGCTGACATTCCCAAGATCCTGAGGACATTTAGCCGCTATTTCGCCCTCGACATTTCCGACCGCTCGTCCTCTCATGCCATGATACCCATCTCGCGAAGAAACTCCTCGTGCTATCTGTCAATGTACAGCTGACCTCGGCCGATATCATCTTTGCATTTTCACGCACATGCTCGGTCAAAGCTTCTCTATTCATTTGATAATCCGTCATTTTGGCTCGTGATATACTACGCCGCCTCCCCGTCCCAGCTGCGGCCGTGTCCCGCCCTAAATCCGTCATCGCATATATCGACACCTTCACTCTCGATCTGATGCGGGCTCCGTCGGCTCCAAAGACACGGCTACATCATCCGGGTATTGAGTTTCCGAGTCAGGCTTGTTTTCGACCTCGCGGACCAGACTGGCATACTTCGCTTCCACCACCTCACCGATGCGGTGTCCTTCGACACCATATCGTTGATAGACAGCTTCACTAAATCCTTTATGCTGGATCCTAGCATCCGATCGCGCCGCAGCGAAGGCGAGGCCGTTGAAGCGTAATTCCAGCTGGAAGCTGATTTCCATATCGACATCGCCTATGAAGTCGTCGCTGTGCTGCATCCTGAATTGGTAGTGCGTGGAGCGAGCCATTCTATGCCTCCTGAATAGCAGACAGCCTAACTGCTTCTTGACTATGTTCAGGTGCTGGATCATCTGCCGAAGGCCAACGTCTAGTGTGCGGTTCGTGATTTCTCTCTCAAGAATGGAGTTTCTTGCAGGGAGGCTGCTTGTTACACCGCTTGCATTGTCCGTGCTTGGTGTGTGCGAAATGATCACAGATTGGCGTTGCGCTTGCTCAGAGAGATCTTGCCTCAGAGTGATCCCGTCAATGCCATGAAGGAGATGCAGGACTTCCATCTGCGAAACCCGGATTATTCAGTCAAGCCACAAGACAGATCAAGACAATGCACATTTGTGAGATCTGTTACGTATACCCTCATCTCGGATCTGTGCTCCCTTTTGAGGTTGATGATGCCCTGGATCAGCTGCGTGGCATTGCACATGAGCTTGCCCCTGTATGCCGAGGCGCAGGTCTGTGCCAGCTAGGTTTATACAGAATTTGAGTTGACTGCGATTCAAGTTGATCATACACTTACTGCTTCATAGCTCACGTTGAGCGAGCACACTCCGGCTTCCACACAGGTTACTGCTTGTGATGCTGTCGACACAAGCAGCAACCTGGTTGGAACCAAGTGGTCTTGTTCCAGCTGCCTTGCGGCCTGGATGCCAGCATCGGTGGCAGGTATCTGTGGCACTGCGTAAGGATTTTGCACAATATCGCATGTTCCTAACACACCGAGATGATAACTCTGTCGCGATCAGCCCCCCGCTTCTCAAAGATGGTCAGCAACCTCAATGCCTGCGCGACCATCACATCGCAGTGGTCGCTCCAACTAGGGTCGACGAATGTATAGTGTGGACCAGAATTGCTGTCCAGCATCAGGAGCCCCAGTTCAACGATCTGTAGAGATGATCTATGTGCGCTGAACCATGTAATAGTCTGGCAATGCGCTCACCAGCCGCTCTACAGCTTTGTGGAAGAGCTCCTCCACAGGCGTATCCTTTGGACTTCAACGCAAGTCAGACAAGTTGGCGAGTAGTCTAGTGGCAGACGTACTTTTCTGTCATCGCATACTCGCAGGCAGCCCAGAGATTGTACTGTCCGGTGGTCTCATTCATGGCGTGATGCAGTAGGTACGGGGTCAGTGACGTGCTCGTATAGTGATATCTTTTCGCTCCAAGTGCTGATCAACTGTTGTTAGGACGTGCCACTCAACCGAGTGCTGAGATTCGTTGACACGCACCAAACGTATCCATTGACTCTGCGTCGATGGAGATGCCGGCTTTCTCTAGGTCTTCCCAAAGAGGCCTCCCTGGGATCACATAGTCGGGCCGTCGGCCATATCCCCACTCCCTGACCAGGGCTGTGGCGTTGCCTGTCTTTGGGACCGACAGCATGGTCATGTTCGACAACATGTGCTCGATGTTAGAGTGTTCTGCCGTTGAGCTTTGACCAACGGAGGTGGTGGTCCCAGCCTTCTTCTGATGGTCCTTATTACGCTCCTTAAGTTGACCCAAGCTTTTCGTCTTGCGAGAGCTGAAGTATGCCATCGTTGCTGTATATGCGGGTCGTTTGAGTGAGCCGTTGCAGTCTTTTGTACAGCAGTAATCTTACCAGCCATCTTGGCTGTCTCTTCGTCCCTCTCTTTCCTGAACCCTACGCGTGTCGCGAATGGTGTGGCATCAGTGTACGTTCACCACATACATTGCACTGTTCTTTGTCCGACTCACTTGCATGCCTTACTTGTTTCATGTGCTCCCGTCTCTTTCGCTGGTCGTTTCGTTCACAGCTCATGTTGATTCGGTGTGGATGATGGTGGTATGAGCGGATGAAGGTGAACCTGCAGTGACTTTGTCCAAAAGAACGCGTTGGTGGCTACGTTCAATTGTGGCACGTGCTTACTCTGGCCACGGCATGTATATTTTTGCCGGTGGTGGACTGCCACACGCAGTGTTCATTCCAACGGGCCAGTTGAACATAGGTCAAGCATGGTCGTCTCACGTCTGAAACATACGCTATAAATCTAGCATACTTAATTCATTTTCTTATATCCGCGACGATCAACCAGTCTTCTTCCAGATTATTCTCAACGAGTTATTTGGTTTGCATTTGCATTGAAGAGAGCGCATCGGCGTGAAGCAGCCATCGAGGGATGCTCACGAGTGCCATGCCATCGTCGTACTGAGATGGTGCTTCTCTCTGGATCGATCAGAACTCGAAGCGGGCAGCTTCGTGGTATGATCTGCATGTCTTGGAAAGGCCGAGAGAACACGTTAACGCCGCCTGAGCCGAATACGGGCGGGGTAAGGCCATCGAGGCAAGCTCACTGCAGCATCATTTTCCACTGACACGGATCTCAGCAAGTTTAGCGCGCGGCGCTTTCACGGCTTTGTTCCGGATTGTGACAATGCAGATTGCTTCTGATGCTCGTGCCCCATCACCCGTGTTTCTGCGTTTGGAAGTCGTTGTGCTCTTGAACAAATGGGGACCGGACCGCCTCTTTGATACCATCTGCGGGAGGGTCTTTCCAGCGCCACTAAGCCATGGCGCTCTAACACGCTGAATTGAATAACGGGTATCCGCTTGGTTCCGTCTGGAAAGCAGTAGGACACTCTCCAACGTAGCAGCAGGTAAACGTCAGCAAGGATGACCTCAATGACCGAGGCGAGCGGACGGTGCCAGTGGGCGTCGATTGTACTGCCATGCACTACCCTTCCAAACGCCACAGACATGAATCATCAATAGTAGCTGCTGAAAGGGTCGCGTTTTGAACGAACCTTCGCGGGAATCATTAATGACCGGAGGACAAACGTACAGATAAGCAACGATGACACCCGACGCGAGGCAGCGCACATTCGAACGGGCACGCAGTTGGTCATATCGCAATTACAATTCAGTCATACTAGGTAAGGGGTAATGACGTCCGATTCTCCAGCTGCATCTCCCAGGTGAACGTCATCTGGGCAGCGTTTATGATCGGTCAGAGCGCATGCATGTTGTGTTCGGTGACTAGGAAATTTAGATGGGCGGTTAGAATACAGCAACGCCCACGATCCTACTGGCGCCCTTGTCGAAACGTGCTCCAAGTCTCCGTGTACGATAGTCGCAACTCCTTTGTATTGTACATGGCAACCCCTCACGACGGCGTACACAACCTTGTTCCATTCCTAGGTCCGGTGTTCAACGTCTTGACGCCCTGCCTGGTTAGCGGTAAATTAGGTTCATGGGCCAGCTATGCCGAAGCGGGCAGGTCGCCGTTGAAAGACCGAACAACATGCCATTAGCAATGCTGCCTGAGGAATTCTCTTCGTACGTGGAAAAAGACAGGCACCGCTAGCGCAAATGCAGCTAGCTTCCAGCCGGGACGCTTTGACCCATCGTCCCTGTCCGGATGATCATGTATGGACACGTGGTGGCCGCCTCCCATACATGATACACCTTCGGCTTCACTTCCCCAGGCGGACTTGACAGCGCTTTGACCACTGAACCCAGGATAGTCGTCGGACTACGCCCACTGTCACCGTGTGTCGCTCTATACGAGGCATCCGCGAGAACAGAGTTGTGACAAGAAATCAAACCCTACTCAATCCGAGTCAATCGGCTCCGGAGGAATATTTGCCTCCGCGAACCATTCAGAGTTAGTTCAGAGAAGATCAAACAACGTTGCAGGCATGCGAACGAACGTCAAGATAGGGCAAGTGCAGCATGTGGCTGGCCTATTGAGGGTCGATATACGAGCTGATATGCAAGCCGCTCCACAACATTCTCGGATGTCCATTCTGTCATAGAAGCGCAAGACAGCGGTGATAGCGTACGATGCAAGACAGCAAGAAAGGTAAGAACACAGGAGCAGAAGACACCTTTGCAAGGAATACAAGGATGGCGCCGACAAATCAAAAACAATAACGAATGCGTGCAGTGATGAGAAAAACGCCAGCCTTCCCGCTACTTCATGCAGGACTTAGGTTCGTTCTGCCGAATAGCCATGCCACTGATTTACTGCTTGACTAGCTGTATACTGATGCAATGTTGAGGAATACCCACTGTTTTGGGGCACACTGTGATGCTAGAAGAAAAAAATCTATGAGCTGTGTGTGAAAGAGAACGCTCCGCGGGCTTTCTCACATGATAGTTGTCCTCTTCGAGTTTGATATACTCGAACTGATTCGCCGTGTGTGAAAATGGCGGAAGCATCGGATGGCCAGAAGATGTGGTGCGATGCTGGGGGTGGGACACGGGAGGCGGCGCGTATTCGCTAGGCTGTTGACAAGGAAAGAGATACCGTCACTAGGATCCCGAGCTCTCAGCAGCGCAGCTGGGTAGAACCACAAGACTGGCATGAAGGGAAGAGGTACTCGCCGAGAATGACGGGCTTGAGGTAGAACTAGACCCTGAAGGAGTCCCCGGTATCTGGTACGTTGCATATGGATGGAGCAGGGCAGATGACGTGGACCTGGAGTAGACAGACGATTGTTGTGCATTTTGGGCGTGATGAGATGAGGAGGGTATAGACAGAGGCGGTGGAGGGCTGTGGACCTGCGGGATGTTCCCATTCTGCATTGGCTTATCGTCCTTGAGAACCATCATTATTATACACTAGCTCCATGATGCAACGTATAGACACACCATGTAGATGTTGGAGTCAGTCATCCTCCGACGTCTAGCGTCGCGGTCAGAGCGAGCATCGTCAGTCTGCATTACCATGGCGTTGCGGTGTGTGATGTCAGGGCGAAGGCGGGCGTTTCGAAGTTCGAGCTGGCGCCGAAGCTCGTCTATCTCTCGATGCAGGAGCTCATTCTCTTCCTCCAGCTCACGGATCCTGACCAGAGGTGGTGGCAAGGCAGCGACTTGGTCTGGAGAGAGAGCAAGGACGGTCTGCAGCTTCGTGACCGTTTGCTCAAGCTGCATCGAGAACGGTGAGCGCTGGGCTCGCGGTGACGAGGACGAGCGGCGGCGGCTCACCTGTTCTATATAGGCTTTTCGCTTGGCACGATGCCTAGCTTGCGCTAGAGCGGTGGCGAGAGATTAGATGGAACAGCGTCTCTGCCGGGATGAGGTCACCTTTGGCATTCCGCGAACGTTCAGGACGGTCGGTAGGAGAGGCAGAGTGGTCCGAGAGACAGTGCGAGACGGATAAGGGCGTCATGTAACGTAAGTGCTGGGGGAAGTGATCGGGGTTGGAATACGGACGAGGATCGATGCGCCTACAACGCCCAAACTTATAGGACCTAATGAGCCGCTCGTCCCGAGATATCGACGGGTCGGACTATGCTCGTCTGATTCTGAATCTTGGCCCTTGGTTGGGTTGCGAGCCATATCGAGCAACAGGAACCCTTCCTGCGGGAATTTGGCTCGCTTCCAATGGCAGTCTCCAGCAGGCGGCGAGCGTGTGCTGCGAATCAGGCCGCGCTCGAGCGACAGAATAGGCTCCGTCCATCAATTCACCACCTCATGTCATATTTTCAACTGTCGGTTAAATAATAGAACAAAACGCGGACACTGACCTATCCGCCCAATCTACGGGTCACGCCCTTCCTAATCCATAGAACTCCGCGGCCGTTTCCTGCGCGGTGATTCCGTTTGTAGGTCCACATCATCGTTGATTGTTATCTAGTGCAATTACCGTGCCCCTCCCTCTGAATTCGCCTTCTGCGGATCCTGCGAGCTCCGTCCACTCCGTGCATCTTGGTCTCGTTGGCATGGACAGCGCACTCCTCAGCGGCGCAGTGACGCGTCACGCTACGCTACGATACGAGCGGCAACCGGCAGACGTGCCTTGATATTTCAACTGCGGAACTTGCCGTCCAACCTAGTCGTTGCCACTCTGACAACTAATCGCTTACTCTTGTCGCGGGTCCTTTCGAGTCCCTCCATTGACGGCCTAAGACGCGAGCTGTCTCTATTAGTTTCATCAAAGTTCATTGCTGTTCAGCATAGCCGTCCCCGCCTAGATCGCCCACCAGCACGCAGCGTCGATTCGAGTCCCAGCCAAATGCTCCGACGCTCGGGGTAGTCGGGATCATTAGTCATAGTCCGCTTCCCGTAGGCTGTGCATCGCCGTTTAGAGTGAGGGACAATCGCAATAGGAATTCACCTGCCACCTTCCCGAAGTTCCAGCGTCATTCGGGGTCAGCATAGACCGAAGATGACTCTCCGATCAATCATACCGAGTGCGCTGTCTCGCATACCACAGCAGCGTCGTCCACATAGTCCACTTTTGCCTCACCTAGAACCTCGCAGAACCTCATCACGTCGCTCGTGTGGCGATCGCGTTGTATCGGGCCGTCGTCATCGTGGAGGCCAGGCTGGCCTTCACCTTGAGCTGCGCTCTGGAACTTGGAACTTTGCAGATGGTCGGCTCATGCACAAAGCCAGAAGGTACAGGAAAGGCTGCACCCCTGCTATGGAAGAACGGGGGCGCTTCCTACGTACCTAGCAAGTACGTCATTTGTACATCATCGTCTTTGTGGTCCAATTCATTTCGCTTTGCCAACCTCATGCTCCTGAGACGGCAGCTGTGAACGATTAACAGAGAAATCTAGATCGACACTGTTAAGCTTGCTCGTTGCAGCGGAGAGACTACCGACCTCGAACGGCGACCATTTCTGGTTCCTGTCGCGCGCACGACTCGTTGATCGCTATGGTGCTGCAGGTATTATTGGCACAAGTGCATGCCATGCATAGCTCCCGTTCGATGTGCGCATAGGTGGATGACGATTGCACCCGCAAAACGAGGAATGCGTTTGTCCCCTCGCGAGCCTGGACGACGGTCGGACAGGTATGGTTTTCCCAAATGCAGGGTTGTTGAAGCTGTAGGCGAACACGTTGTCCGGAAACTGTCCAACGAGGTATGCTCGTCGCTCTGGGTTGCTCTGGCCACCCTGCTCGTCAAAGGCCTCCAGGGCGTCACAGCCTACCCGTGAACCGTCAACCGTTTGTGAAGTCCCGTACTGAATTGCAGGAGATCTCACGGAGAGACTGGTGACGTTGTCCAGCATTCATCTCCACCCTCCTCACTGCCGATATGACATGAACTCCCCTACTTCAATGTGGCAGGTGAGGAACCCCGTCCATCCTTGGCGAAACCACAACGCCATGGGAAAAATGCCTCACACAACCACAGATCCGCGTTTCTCGCTCCGCTACCTGAGGTAGAAATTGACAATAACAAGGTGTCAACGAGCTGGAGATCCCCGACGTCCCGGATCGTTCTACTGAGCGACGCCACGGCGTCCGCAACGCCCGAGACCCGCAGTAAAAGCCAGCAACGACTGCACGGTCACTCGGGTGCATCAACCACACATTAATTACGAGGCCTTCTCGGGGAACCATGGCCGTATACGACCTTGGGCAGACGGGGCTGCTCGACTTCTAGTGCGCCGGTCCTGACAAATTGAAAGTGAGCCGTCCAATCGTCGTACTCTCGTCAGTCATCACAACTCGCGGCCATCTAAACTGCAGCCTGAACTGCATCATGCGGAGAATTTGCTGTCAGCATTTAGCGCAGAAAGAGAGAAAGAGGAATAGGGAAAAAGGGCCAAGAATCGAGCCCAAGACCCCGATCAAACATCGGCTATGTACTTCACGATGGGCGACTTGGGTCCATTCCCTCCGTTAGGCAATCGCTCCCCATGCACTGAATCATCAGGGCTCGGGCGCTGGTCGGCATTTTCCATTGAGTTTTCCCCTCCGGTGAAACGCGCATAGCAGAGCTGCCGCTCACAGGCGCGGATCGCACCAAGTGGTCGCCTACCGAGACGTCCTTTCTGATTCCTTTTTCCTATGAAGTTCGCTGTCCGTTGAAGTTACCTTGGTTCGTGCCATCTGCGGCCAGACTGTACGAGAAAAAAAGATGATGTAGTACGTACGTAGATGCTGTTGCAGAGATCACCCTCGTTAATCCCTGCAGCTTGGTCGATCGATCGTCTAACGTATGTTGCCGTAAACTGAGGCGGCGGGGGGAATGTGAATCGATGATACGCGACGGGCGAGTGGCAGGCGCATCGACCGCGTAAGCCCATTGACGTGAAGCGAAACGCATCTCACGTGATGGTGGCTGGCTTCGCGCTAGACTAGTATCCAGCGACTCTGCCTCATCCAAACAGTACTAGGCCTGCTAATAATATATCTGTATTGCAGCAGAGCAACCATCCGCGCACTAACGGCTAAACATCCCGGAGTATGAAAAAACAAAACGTGGGCACACGCCCGTATGATGCTCACTGACACGAAGTAGCGATACAGGGAGTGACACACAGCAGCCAACTACAGTCCATAAATGAGAGCATCGAGCACCACGCAGGCGCGGTGAGTTCGGAAAGGTATCAGAAATTCTCTGTGCAGGAACGAAAACACACCGTGGTGAGCAGCACGAACGAACGAACAGACACGCAGCAGCCAAGCAGCAACGCATACCTTTGCCGAAGAAGAACTTGGTGCCGTCCGGCGTCGAGTACTTGTTGCAACAGACGTGAAGCTGCTTCGAGAGCACCGCAGGCCCGCAGAAGAACTGGGGTGAAACACAGCCAGATCAACCATTAGCCCCCGTTGCATCACGCATCACACGACAACAAATCGGGGCCGCAGCACTCACCACGCCAACATCCGTCTCCGGGTGCTTTTCGGCGACAGAGCTGAACACCCTGTCCCAGTTGGGCCGGCCGTAGTGCGTCGGCGCCCGGAGGGACGTGATCGCGTCCTTCTCGGCGCCCACGTCTTGTACCTAGGGAAGAAGCGGGAGGTGGCTATCAGTCACTGCGTGCATCACCATGGGGAGAGATACGGGACGGCGTGCGGAATAGAGTCGGAAGATAGCAGAGACGTCTGGAACGCAGTGGGGACGGGTAAGCGCAGGCGCGGGTACGCACGATGATGTTGTTCATGTCATCCTCCTTAATCTTCGCGGTTAAATAAATGTTGATCTCGATCCTGTTCTGCGTGTCCTGCTCCTCGATGGCCTGCAAGAGTGAGTGGAACCATTCCGCACTGCCGAAATCGCGGATCACCCAGGTGAAGTAGACCTAGAAAAGCCGCCGGCAGCGACCCAAAGCAGGGATCACGGAGAAGGTGGTGAGCGCTTGTCGGCAGGAACAAACTCCCGAAGTGAACGCACCTTCGAGAGACGCGTAGGCTTCGACTTGTCAAGGTTGTTCATACGGTACCAAACAGACTTCAAAATCCTGACGCAGGAATGGAGCTAAGCAGGGTATTCCTGCACAAATATAAATTCGAGACACGCACGAAGCGAACGGAGTCACACCGATACCAGCACCGACCAGCAGAACTGTCTCGTAGTTGAGGAAGTCCTCGCTGGCACTGCCGAACGGACCATCGACCATGACGCGCGGCAGGACGCGGTTGACAGGCGGGTTGGCCGCCGTGCCGATAAGCTTGCCGCCGTTCTCGGTGCCCCTTCCCTTGGAGTCAAAGTCGCAGCCAACAGCCTCCGCAAGCGCGCGTGTGAAGTCGCCGACAACACGGATGTGCACGGAGATGTAGTCTTCCTCCGGTGCGCTGCGTGCCCAAGAGAAGCGTCAGCCTTCCCACCAGGGGGTGCGTGCAGACTACCATGCCAACGCACCTCGTGAGAGTGAAGGGGTGCCACTGGAAGTACGAGATCTCTGGGCAGGAGAGGAAGATGTACTGGCCTGCGCGCGTCGTCGTCTTCTCCTTCTTGATTTGCAGTTCCAGCACGTTCGACGGGTGCTGGATGACCTTCGAGATGTAGGTCCGGTGGCGAGAACGCACTTCACGCAAGATACGCTCGAAGATGAAGATCACCCCGCCGGTGAGCCAGAACCGCTACAGGTATCCATGGGGATATCGTCAGAAAGAAGGGTATTGAGATGGAGATTAGAGCCTGGGCTGCGCACCCAAAAGAGTCCGATGGTGTTCCAGGAGCAGAACGGCTCGCGGTCGGGCTGGATCATGCAGAACATGCCATGCAGCTGCCAGTTGAGGAAGAAGACGATGAACAAATGGTGCGAGTACCAGAACCGCTCAAAGTTGGCACGGCGCCGCTTCTCCATCGCATACCATACCATGATGCCAAGCGCGGCCGTCATGATCCAGCCAGTAACGCCTGGACCGGTCGTGAAGTTTGCGAGCAGCCAGATGATGAAACGCTCCTTGGGCGAGTCAGAAAGGGCGAAGCCGAGGCGAGCAAAGTTGATCATGTGAGCGGCAATGTGCACGAAGGAGAAGAAGCAGATGCCCCATCCCATGGCCTTGTGGAAGGTGATGTTCTTGTCGAAGGGAATATAGTAGTTGAGCGGCGTGCGGCGGAGCAGCGAGATGAAATTCCGGCAGATGGGGAGCAGGATGAAGGCGACTTCGACATGGAGGGTGAGTGCAGCACCACGAGCGATTGCTGGAAGGATAACATGGTCAGCCAATCTGTAGGAATAGCGTGAAGCATTTGCGAAGAGCCGTAGCCACAGCAAACGCGATCACGGACGATGCGATGGGGATGACCGAGATGCATCAACTCCGACCGAACGCCGTCCGCGCATCGGTGCCGTGCCGTAGAGATTCCCATCACCGTCTCCATGTCCTCATCCGCATGATCACCTCCCCAGCTCTTCAAGGCCCCATTGCAACGTCGCAGCAGAGGATAGGACACTCACGATATGTAACACCAAAGGTGGCCCGTGCGCCCGTCAAGTCATCACTGAGGCTGTAGTACAGCAGTCCGAAGGTGACGACCAAGATGTGGAGGAAAATGAAGAAGAAGAAGAAGAGCCTCTTTCCTCCTTCGTTGATCATCCAAACGTGCCATCTGTCCATCATAGTCTCAGGCTTGTAAGGAGCGGGCGGAACCGCGCCGATGGTGTTGGTCCGCTGGAGTGGCTGCAGCCGTCTGCGCTCGGACTTGTTGCGCTGCAAATGACTGGGCCCCTCATCGGCGCGATCTGCGAACGGGTTGTCCATGTCGGGGTGCTGCGTGAGCGGAGGCATCTTGCCGTCCGAGAAGTCGAGGCTCGAAGAACGCTTCTTCCAGTTAGCAGACATGAGTGCTCAGTGCGCTGCAGGAGGGCTCTGGTGCTTGTCGTCGTTGTCGTCCCGCACAGCGGAAAACGAGCGAAGAGGACCGGCCTGAAGTGAAGGACAGTAAGGGGGTGTAAAGTATGCGAAGCCCAGGAAGGGGTGGAAGAAAAGATATAAAGAGGAGAGGACTGGCCTACACGGCTGTGCGTGCGGGACATGTCCTTTTGATTGCGATGTCACTAAGAGGCGCCCATTGCCATAGCAATTCCCAATCCTTATCCGGTAACTGCGAATCGAATAGCGTGGCTGCGCGTGCATTGCCAGGAGACCGTCAGAAACACTCGTCTGCTCAGAACACACGTTCAGGGAGATCAGTCTGCAGCGCAGTCAAGTCATCTAGATATTTGCTTGCATGGACGATCCAACCATAGCCTACACTCGCAGGCCCGTGCGACCGGGGGACAATGTCAAAGCGAGAGATGGCATCGCTCAATTAAACCGCCACATTTGATTCGTGATTTACACAATGAGAAGCAAGACGTGCCGCTGTCATTCCCATCATTTACGCCTGCGCAGACGTGTTGCATGCTGCGGGATTGGTAAGTCATACGGCATCCGTGCCTCGCCGCGGACAGCTTACCAGCGAGTCCCACTTGGCTTCTGACATTGAAGCAATTAAATGTTGCCGTCTCCCCGGTGGGCGGTGCAACGTCGATATCATTGAAAATAAGCCCCGTGCATGGCGACGCTGGACTGCATTCCATATCAACCACTATCATTCCACCAATGCTTAATATTATCCGCGCAAAAATAGAACATTCTACTCACACAGACTCGTCGACGATGTGCCGGTAAAGTTCACAAAGATCATGTCACCAAAATGATATTCTGATGGCGCGTCTCCTCTGACGTGACAGTTATCAGATAGCATCACGAGCAGCTTGATGCTGCAGCCCCTGGACGGCCGCCTGAGCTAGTGGCACTCACGGGTGTCCAGAGTTAGTCTGGTACAGCTGGATGGGATATGTGACATTGTCAAGCTGGAAGTTGCGCGCGGTGACATTCGCGACATGGCCTGATTGTGGAGAAAGATGAGACGCGGACGCTAACATGCTCAAGCTAGGCTCTCCCAATCACTCACCCCGTCCTCCGCCTCCCTCGGCCGGTGGGAACCCAATCGTTGTTCCCGTCCAAGACTTGAAATAAATCTGTTCGACACGACACACGCAGCACGGCCAGATCAGCTCGGCCGTCTGACTCTTGTTGTGCAGCGGTCACCTACCCCATGCTCCATGTACGGCTGGATGACAGGGTCCGGCCGCATCATCTATGCCAGAAGCCGGTCACGCCGCATGCATCATCTCATCATAGAGGTGCGATCATTCAGGAAATAATGAACACTTACGGTGACGTCCTCTATCGTAATGTTCTCGACGTTGTCGATCTGCAATGATCACCGACGTCAGTGTCAGTGTTGTCGGCCGCGGCATCGCTCAGTGTAGGATTGGATAGCACGGACAGACGGGCCCGAGGGCCAGAGGAGGAGAACAGACGCTAGCGTACCAGGTCGTAGTATTGCCCCAGAGACCCGAATGCGATGCCTGTACCGCCTGTGCAGGTGATATTCTTGGCATATATATTTGTCGAGTTCTAGCGCACAGAGCTGTCAGTCGACGCGTTTCGCTGACTGTATGATGGAGATTCTTTACTAACGCCTTTGATAGCAACGCAATCGTCTCCAAGCGTGATCTTTGCAATGAAACATCACTCGTCAAGCAAGTCGACATCGTACAGAAAAGCCATGACGCACGTCGAAGTTCAGCAAGGATATATTATTGGACCTGTACGTGTCGATACCTGCGACGAAGGCCGTCTCAAGCAAAAGCTGTGCATAACCGCCGGACGCGCTCACCATCTGTGTTCCACACAATGCTAATCACAACGTCAGTGTTCATCCGAATCCCGGAACAGTCACGCTATGACTCACTTCTGGTTGAAGTACGTAGGGTCCGCATTCGTCGCATTGCAATACATCCCATCATACACCACGTCCTCGCTCTCGACAACCGCATTGCACCAGAAGGGCTGGCTCTCGATCCTAAAGTTATTGATCGCCGCGCGCGCCGCGCGATACACCGTGAGCGACACCGGGCGTCCATCCCCGTCGATGCGCGTGCCGTTGCCGTACCACGACCACCAGTACTGTCCATTCCCGATAATCCCGCCCGTATTGTGCGCGTCGACGACAAAGTCGTGCCCGGTGATCACGAACCAGGACGCCTGACTCTGTACGAAGATGACGCGGTACGTGTTTTCGGGCTTCATCCAGTAAGGCAGGTCCGCTTTGAACTGCGGGTGGTGGAGAGCGGTCAAGTGATGTAGGATATGTTGGCTGGTTCGCATGGGTACGTACGTTGAGGTAGCCGTGCAGGTCTACTCGTGATTCTACCAAGTCCCAGGTCATCTTCCTGCCCGACATGCTATCAGAGCCTACTTTCTTTTACACTGAGCACTCACCTTGTGACGATGTACTCGCCCGGAGCGAAGGTGACCGTGCCATAGTGACCACACTGCGCGATGGCGGCCTCAATCTATTGCAGAGAAATTAACGAACGCGTCCCACCGTGGTAAAAGCATGGAGAAGCGCACCTGATCCGTATCATCTTCACCCTCTCCCAATGGCGCCAACGTACAGGTGTTGTTCGCCGCCGCCGAGAGAAGTAACCTCGTAAGACACAAAGCGACCAGATACAAGGCATGCAAAGCACGGGCCATCTCGATCAGTGCTCCGCGTTCAAGTCAAGCTATCACTGCTATGCTCATGTCAGAGAAACCCTCGCCCCATCATCTTATGTGCAAGTTCACGTCCAGAGGGGACATGAATGTCGCCGTGTATCACGAGGACACAGGAGAAGCAGCCAGTAACGGGAATATCTTGACGCATATACGGCGCGGGCTGCAGCGGACCGGCTGTAGGCTCAAGGTGTTTTGTGCGAAGCGTCGATGGCTTCTTCGAATGTGATGAGATGCCCCAAACACGACCTTATGATCAGCACGCTTGCGATCATATAGAGGGGATGACTTCACTGCGAGGTCACGATTCGCTGTGAGATTGTCTGATCCGCCGTTTTCTCGGAGAAGTAACGGCAGGCTGAATGGTGAGCGGAACGGGCTAACCGTCACCAAGCAGAAGGGTGAGTATGCATTCCGTAAGATGCACGTCAATCTGGATTGAGTCGTTTCGTCAATGAGGCCTGAATAAGATGTGCTCAATCATTGAGATCCGCGAAAGCATCGAATACACAGCGAGCGACTGAGGTGTCTCTGGTACGAATACACGGATATGGTAGAAATAAATGCAGATGCACAATCAGAATATGTCGGAAGGCAGTTGTTCACTCGGGTGCCCGGTCTGTGGTTGGTGACCCTTCGGTGCTTTCACAATCAAATCCGCTTGTTGGCTACATAACAATCCACCAGTTACTCAAGGAGAGAGTTCATAGGAATGCTGAAGACGTACAGTCGCATGCGGAGCAGCAATTTTCTATTCGCGGATTGCATGTTCTCACCCGTCTTCATAGTACGCATGAAGAGCGCCGCGCGCTGGTCTGTCTCTTTCGCTTTGAGAATCTGTGATGATGCTTCATGAGTGACTGATCATCGATGCCTGTTACCATGCGAGACTCGCCTTGTTCTGCCTGTCCACTCGCGCCTGGATCTCGCCGGCCTGGATTAGAGATACGACCTGTCGCTCGAGCTCCTCGATGGACCACCCAAATGCACTGCTCATACGCTCGAGCTTGATTGATGCAAATGGTTGGAAGTACAGCACGAGAGCGCGGCTTCGAATGAGATCTATGAGCTTCGCCATGTGCGATGACAGGTGGATATCGACATAATGTCGGGTCTGGTTTTTGATAAGGATCAGAGTCAGAATTCACGGCACGTAGTGGCTGAAAGCAGAGGAATGATTGACCGAGTATTTTTCGAGACCTTCAAGCACCGCCTTGAAGCGGTTGCCCATGTATGACTCCAGCAACTCTCGCACGTACGGCTCCTGCTCGATGTAAACACTAAAGTTGTCATTGTCAAGTACTTGGGAGCGAATGTCAGGTCGCTTGAATGACGCCAGAGCACAAAGGGTTGTATAGATCGCGATGTCCCCCGGAGCGATGAGCTGTATAACGGACAGATCACGATGAGCATGGACTACCCATAAAATGCGTTGAGGTCACGCTGACTGTGTTCGCCCATTCTCCCAATGTCTTTACACTTCCAACCTTGAGGAACGACGCTGCTGCCTTCTCATAATTGCCTTGCCCAAGGAGTGAGATTGCGAGACCCACGTCGAGCTTGCTCTGCACGCTCTCTCGCTCCGCATTTGCTTTCTCCTTGTTACTCGCTGAGGCGGGCGCCGTCGGGGCTGAGTTAGCGCTTGCGCGCGCAGCCGTTGTCGCGTCAAGTGCGGCGTCTGCTTTGAAGACATAAGTTGAGATGTGAGGATAGTTGCGCTGTTCGATCAAGAGCTGACAGGGCGTATTCGAGGTATGTCATGAGAGTCGGTGCGAACGTCATGCCGAACATACCTCAAGACATGACATGAATGTGTCAAGGACATGTTGATTAGTCGTGCAGAATTCGCGTGACTTCGTGTAATGCTTCAAAGCCGAAGCCGCGTCACCCGTCGCCCGGAAGAAGTCACCGAGATCTCTGTGAGCCATCTACAGTGGCAATGATCAGTACATCGTACGCGATCGATGATGGCAACACGTACCCGAATGCTCTCCTTGATCATGTTACTAGTGTATGTCTTAAGCTCGACCTCCAACTTATTCTTCTCGGCCAGATTGTTCTGCATTGTCTCTTCAATCCACTTCATGTCTAGTGCGGAAACCTCAGCGGGAGGAGACAGTTGACCATTCGACGCGGAGGCTGTGCTTTCGTAGGCACCGACAAGATCGCGGTAAAGCTTCACGTCGCGCATCTTGAATACCGTTTGCAACGCGCATTGAAGTGCCTGCACCGCAAGTGTAGGGCATAATTGTATCACAATGATCATTCTATCAACGAGGGAGCGACCTGCATACGTTGGTCAGGGACGCGTGCTGTGCATAACTGTGGCCACAGGGTACGCACCTGAGTAGCTCGCGCAGTATGCCTCCAAATCGAACGGGTGTGCATCGTCGACGGGAAGCCTCGTCGGATGCCTTCCATTTCTTCTGACAGTCTCCCCATGCACTTCGCCTTCTTCGACGGAGTCCACATCCATGACTGTAGCAAGCTAACGGTACAAGGAGAGAAGCTGAGCCTTGAGGCGCCAGTGAGGCCCATGCAGTGTTAATATATACATAATAATCATGATATACTTTTGCATAGGCCATGCTTAAGGGCATTTGGCACAGTGGTAGCGCGCACGCTTCGCATCCGCATCCAGATTACGCAATTTGCGTGAGGTCCAGGGTTCAATCCCCTGAATGTCCATTTTTTGTACTTGTTGCAAGTTAGTACTACACTGTAGCTAATGTATCAGGGCAAATGGTAACAACGTTAATTAGCTGAGTGCTTCGAGTCGTCCATGAGCATCTTCTCATGGACGCGCAGGGTTCTCGTGCAGTACGCATCTTACCACGAAAGCGACGGCCTTATAAGGGGCAGTTACTTCCAAACGGTGGTTTTGTTTGTGACAGGTCCCACTGTGCAATTGATAGAATTGTATGCCGGAGACCTTCGTAGAGTTACTTTGAGGTTGCAATGGTGCAATCACAATGGGTACTGTAATCATGAAAGACCGTTTGGCAGTGAACATGCATTGCTGTATCCCATATTATAGTCGACTAATCAATTGTACATGCACAAAGCACCTCGGCGAAAACGCAGTAAATGCCAATGTCAGAGAGTCATGTCCATAGCATCCCGATCGTCCGCAAACAGTCTCGCATACTCCAGACAAAGTCTGTATACATACGCTGAGGATGACATTCACGTTCAGCCTCGCGCATTGGCAGTGCAGAGAAGGACGTCCTACCTTCCATATCTACTCTCCTCCCAATCGTCCTTTTCCATTGCTTGCCTGCGCGGGCGATCCGACGCAGTCTCCGGTCACCGTCAACCGAGTGTCGTGATGCTGGGGGAACGGCCAGTGCCGTTGAGTTCACAGCCTCCAGCGTCGACGTGGTCGCGCCAGAGAAGAAAGCATGAATATTGTAGAGCTCCTGGTATGACTGGGAAAGCGGGATGTAATGCAACCTAGTACCCATCATTCAGCACATGCTTCACGGGCGACGTATTGAAGCACATACCAAGGCTGGATCCAGTCGGAGAAGTACTCCTTGTACACCGTTGACTTGATCACGGCGCTGTCCGACTCCATGAACGAGAAGAATCGGCCCGAGTAGCCCATACCGTCTATGTCAACAAGGTACTTGTGTCTCCAGTGGTCACCCAGGTTGACTCCGCCATCGTCGAAACGATGTGCCCTGATCAGTGCATTAAGACCGCCGGGGTAGTTGTATGAATCAACTACCTTCATGAAGGCGACGTCCATGATCTCTTCGTTCAGTATTGATATAGGAACATCCGCATAGATGTAGTTTGTCGAGCTTGGAGGATCGGCGAAGACAACTGTGCGATTGACGTTTGACGTGTCGCTGGCCATACGCACTAACCTGCATGAACGCCGTCAACATCTCATGGGCGCACTAGGAACCGCTGGAGCTACCAACCTGTGGCGCTGATACGAAGCGGCAAAGCCAGGAGGTGAACTACCACCACCCGTCGACGCGCCTCTCCAGAATATCTTGTCTGACTTCATCTCCCAGGGAGTCTCCATATGGTCGATCTCCTTAAGCACCAGGTTCACCGGGTCGTACCCGTACGTATATCGCCTCGTCTGACCATAGTAATAATGGCTCGGAATTCTGATGTCCGAGTACCCAGGGGCCTGCGCCGGGGAGAACACAGGGAAGAGCACCGGAATCGTGCGCCAGTCAGAGAAGAAGTGGCCTTGTATGTAGTGTGCCCAGGGATTCTCGCAGAAGGAATAGTTGGCACTGACGTCCGGTACAAACTCAAACTCCTGCGTACGTGCAACGAGCTGGCTAGTGCGATTCGTTGAGATCACACGGGAGGAGCTGAAGAGCCTGCGTGCGGGCGTGCCGGGATCACAGGTGCGGCGGTACGCTTCCCAGACGTTGCCCTCTCCCCTCCAGTCAGGGGAGTATGCGCCGCTCAGCTCAGCTTGGATGTAGTCTGTAGGTGAAAGTGTCAGGGGTCATCGTGAGACAGTGCGCTGAGCCGTACCATCTTGCATTGTCGAGTTCGGTTGAAAGCGCTGTTCCCATGGAACGAGGATCCGCCCTTCCGCCATCGCGTTGACGGGGAAGTCTAGGTCAGGAAGCTATGAATGAGATTCATACATGAGCCTTGACAAGACAGGCAGGATACTCACTTTGTCCTGGAACTTCTCAATCATCGACCGGAAACCCTTCGCACGCGCCCCAACATCATCGCTGTTGGGTCCGTCACGGATGTTTACTGCTGTGGCTTTCCCATCACGGATTCTGACTAGATCTATATAGGGGAGATGCCCCGCCTGCAGAATATCAATACATTTGCAGGAGGAGATACGACGAAATACGTACTAGCGCGGCTCGCTCTCGCAGTTCCTCCCCTGGCATAGCCCAAAATGGGGCCAAGTCCTCCATGATCCCGTCGTACTCGTCAATCATGACAACCTCGTTGTCCTGCGCAAATCTCCACCATTCATCGAAGCCCCGCGGCGGTTTCCGCCCATACCTCCGCTGGTACTCTTTAACTGCTTCCTCTAGCGTCTTGCTCTGGCTCGACACCAATTGTCGGAACTTCGTTTCGGCCTCCGCCATCAGTTTGGGTATCGGGTGCTCCTTGATTGCTCGTCGGCCATGGTGCCCCGAGAAAGGGATGATCTTCGAGGCACTTGGTAGCAATGAGTTGTCAGGGAAGTTGCTATCTCTCTGGCTGCGTCCTGCCCATGATCCTCCTTGTGCGAAGAAGATTATGATAGCCAGTGTAAATAGTAGCCCGGTTTTGTTTCCAGAAAGACTGTTGAACATGTTGTTGTTGAGAATGAGATTTAGGCGGTCGCTAAATGCCGTCGAATGTAGACAATAGTTTATGCGACACAGTAATCAGCGTGCAGGCAGGAAGAATAGACGTTTCTCTAGCATAAACGGCAATTGAGTGTATGGGAATGATCAACGCAGAAGGAGGTGATACGTGAGTGGTGCGGGTAAAGTCTACAAACAACCAGGTTGATCGAGAAACGCTTCGAGTGCGCAGTCTCGAAATGGCAGGTGTGCACGTTCAACCACACAATTCACTCATGATATGCATGAAACGCCAACAGAACCGCAACTGATCTTCAGCTTCGTTATTATATAGCCAAACTGAGGTGTTTCCTTCCGATCTCTATGGTAAGAGCATTTATAGGGCACTTCAACCGATCTAGTTAATTTTAGTCGCCGTCCAGAACGCAGCATGGTAAATATATCCAAGCATGCTTTGGGTATTGTTTGTGTAAGTCGTATCAATCGTTCTCTCATTCTATCATGCAGGTATGAGTACCATAGTTGACCCAATGCAGTCGTATCGGGACCTACCGATATCTCGAATCCAATCTTGCGGGCAAGCGTCTTCACTTCCTCCAGGGTCAGCTCGACGGACGGATCGTTTGTTGAGTTGTTCTCGAAATGCCACAGCAATGGACCTATTGAGAATTATTATACACTTCGCTCAACTGTGACATCTATGAGCATACCGAGATTGATCCAGACGCCGCCTGGCGCCAGTATACGGTGGATTATTCGAAGATAATTCACAATGTTCTTCGCCTGAGCACTCATTCAGCAGTACGTCGGATAAACGATCCCATTGGGACTCACTGTATCAATGAAGAAGCAAGTCATTACAGCATCCCACTGTCCCGATTGCGGCTCCTTGTCATCACGCCCCGTTCCGTACACTTCCTCGAAGTCGCCTAGACAGTCCAAGAGTATGAAAAAAGCACGAAAATGCGGGCTCAACGACGGGACCTACCTGCTACCAAAGAAAAGTCTCTTTCAGGTGGCAGGGAGGAAGGAAGGACATCTGGGATATTAATCGGTCGCAACATGGCCTCATTATTTGGTAGATTGGAAAATGAGTGGACATATGGATACAGGGTATGCTGCCCAATTTCATCCGTCCTGCGTGAGAGAACAATGAGTTACTGGCAACTAGAAGGCTGTATTCGAGCTTGCCTGTTCAAGATGAAATAGGACGCAAGAAGCATGTAGTGTGAAAATTCATTTCCTTGACATGCAAAGCCTACAATCATTCCATTAGCAGATGGCTGATCACATTCATTGAGATTTCACTAACCAAGATAAGCAACATCCCATGCAAGTCTGCCAAGGCCGGCTCCCGGAATGAGGACTCTTAGGTTTTTCCTGATTGTGAACTTCGTTAGGCAGGAGTTCCACTGCAGCCCTTGAGGATTACCTGTCTTCTTGCGACACTCCAGAGAAATGCTGAAGAAGAGCTTCTCTCATGGGCGCATAGCATAATTCCCTTTCGGGTTTCCCCTGATGCGTATTCAGGATCCAGAGACAATGATAATGTCCTCAGAATACCTCCTCGCTCCAATCGCGAACGAATTGTTTCAGCGTACTGCGCAATTTATCCATATCGAATTCAGTGGGCTTGTATCGCTTCCCTCCTCCTTGGCCTGACTGCGGTCCAGACGGCGTAGCATGCAAATGGGAATGCGAGTGAGAACCATGGGCGTGACTATGACCAAGCGAGTGCGAGTGGCCTATTGGAAAATATCTCAGCGAATCGTGTCTTATGGCGATGAGATCAATTGCGAGCTACCGTGATTGTGAAGAACAGCGTCCTGATAAGCATGACCTTCATTGTTCTCTTCCAGAGGCCTTTCTTCTTCATCCAGCTCATGGCCGAAGATATCAGGATTGGCCACAATCTGGTTCAGAAACTCTGCATTTGCCAAGACTGCACGATCGGCCTCTGCCAACTTCGCCTTGTAGCCCAACCCGTCAAGCAGTTCTTGATCTGCCCTCGGCAACGTGTAGTAGTCTTTTCTGCGCCGATTGTTTGCGAACAGCTGGTAAGCAACACATCGCGTTGAGCGTTTTGTCCTTGTTGTTCGATGGTTGCAGAAGTTACGGTCCTTACCGAGTACTGTGCATATTGCCGAAACGTTGCAACGACGTTCGCAAAATGGGCTCTCTCCTCTTCAATTTCTTCGTGAGTAAATGACATCCTGCAGAGTGCGGTTTACTCGCAAGGAACAAATGTGAGTGGAAATGATCCGATCCGCGGTCGGGTACATTGCCATAATAGGCATTCGAGGCGCTCATATAACGATCTATGCACTGTTTGGTTCGCCCTCCGAACGAGCCAGATCTGAGAAATACTGCAACTCCATAAATTTATAATCCCTGCAACATAGAGACGTGATAATGATGATGCTGATGATGTAGTACAAATGACCAAGGTATGTGAATACGAACGAATGTTGATGAGATATCAGGATGCAATAGGTATGTGGCAATCAACGAAGATCAATAATTTCCAAAGGCATTTCTTTGAGCTGCACATGACTGTTATCACAGTCCTGTATATGCGTATGAGCCATGAATCGCATGAGAACCGATGAAAGACGAACTGTGTATACGGGAACCTCAGGATGAGGGTGGAAAGCCTCTTTGATGGTACAGTCTAGGATCGTTTGCAGGCCTGCAGGGTCTGTCAGTCGGAATATGCCAAAGCTTGATAACAGCCTCGGTCAGAGCAAACATAGCGTAAAAGCAGCAAAGACACATACGTAGGCGTGGATGATGGCGCGCAAACGACTGCGAATGACTCCGGCAGCATACGTTGGAAGCCGGAATGTGTATGCAGATCAACTGACGACATGAAACCTGATACCCAGGAAGACAGTTAACTCCTAACTCAATCGAGAGCGACACAACACCTACACGACTGTGTGGGATGCGTGTGGATCTAATAAAAGATGAACGAAATGAACGTTAGCCCGCGCTCGACCGCTGACGGCATAACGCACGCACCCAGCCAAGAGTTATCAGGTGGCGCTCCTCTGTGAACTGCAGCACAAGCTCTTCCTCGTCCATGGTGCACGTATCACTCGTTGAGTGCTGCTTCGGGATGAGCAGTGTGGTCACGACGTATTTGCTTCCCTTGTCCTTGCCAAGCAGCAAACCGCATGTCTCCCTGTTCTGCAAGGTGTTCACACGTGCAATCGACACAAAGCGGGGAAGGCATTCCCTCGGAAGCCTGACCGTCTTCAGCTCTCGAATGGAAGTGTCGACTGACGTGCTAGGGACTATCCGTGGTGCTGTGGGCGGACCTTGGGACGAAGGAGTAAACGAACTTCTGGATGACGTATTGTGACCACTGGAGGAGTATGATACTGTGCTTGATCTGCCAGATGACTCTGGAGTATGGTAACGACCGGGAAAGGGTGGAACGATGGGATCTACAATGGGATTTGACGGGTTAGGAAGGATATTGGAATATAAGTCGCCTGGACCTTTGGACTCAAATAGAAGTGATGAATCTTGAGGAGGTGTAGCAATGGAAGAACTAGAGAACATGGACTGCAAGGATGGCACGTAACCTTGTTTGAGCTGGTGCTGCGACATCAAAGAGGGATAGCGAACATGCCCAAGTTCCGGAGGGGGAGGAGAGGTTGTCGTGATCGGAGGTGGATATGAAATTCTGTACATGGCCAGTCAATCATCACATATGCCGCGTGGATTGAGACGGCTCACCCAGGGGCATACTGCCTTAACTTAGTAGGCGTTTGATTAGGACTCCTCTGGCGAATCCATGGCTGTTGCCCATCTACTCCCTCAGCGTCATTCGAGGAGTCGTCGTCGTTCCGCAGCGGATTCTCGAGCGGCATGACGGATAAACCGAAGCTGCTACTGTACCGTGATGAGTTTGTCGCGTGTGTGGGTTGAGGAGCTGCTACGGGAAATGCAGGAGGCACCGATCTGGTCATAGCCTCTTGTGTGATGACTTGATGGGACGGGATTGGTGTTATAGTTGATGGCGACAGTCGTGTCGCGACCTCCATCCGAGCAGCAAGAGCAGCTGCCTCCGCTTCCTGCTGCCGACGCACAATCCCTTCCTGCTCTTGCCTGCGTTTCTGGTCAAGCGACCTTCTCCGCTCTTGCTCTTGTCGTGCCTCCGCATCCTTTCTTGCCCGCTCTTGTTGGGCCGCAGCGGCAGCCTCCTCTCTCCGACGCGCCTCCGCTTCATGCTGTCTAGCTCGTTCTTCGTCTTCCTTCGTGTATTGCGTCCTCTCTATGTGCTGCCGCCGCGCCTGTTCCGTCCTCTGCCATTCCTGCTCTCGTCGAGCCGCCTCCAAAGCGTTCCGTGCGCGCTCTTCCTGCAAGTCTTCGCGACGTCGCCGCGATGAGTCTCGGCTTCTTCTTTCCTGGCCCCTTCTCTCATCCTGCGATGAGCTGGGAACCGAAGAATGGTTGGAGCCTGATGTTGAGCCACGCTGCCCGTGCCATTGCTCGTAGCGATCAACGAGGAGAGGCTTGAGCCGGCTCATACTATCGAGAATGTCTTGGCCATTCTGTTGGCAAATGAAGTCAGCGCGTATGCGATTTCAAAGCAAAGAAAATTGCTGAAGGCACAGTAATGCTGCCTCAACGACAATCACCCGACCGGTTCTGAAGAGGTAACCTGGAAACAATTCGTAACGGATGCATTTTCGTACAACCGCCACATCCCGCTGCTAACTTCACCTCCCGCTGCATCTAGTGTTCACAATACAACCTCACCAGCATAGGATACATGACAATGAGACGGGACACATAGAGCCGCAATTCTCGTGACTGATCAGGATGCTCACCATATCAAGGTTCTTCCGCTGATCGGGAGTCAATAAGACGCTGTAGTCTCGATGCGTAGGTATCTTTTCCAGTACAACGGTGGCGGCCTTAGCATAATTCACGAACGCATTCTCATAATCGCCGTCCTTGACAAGCTGCTCAGCTGTTCTTCTGGCCTTCTCCGCGGTACGCAACCAGTGCTTCAGACCCTTGTTCGGGTCCCAGAAGATGTCCTGTGCCCTTGTGGCAAGCTCTGAAATCGACGCCGGACGATTTCCGTGAACGTAGTGGCTCGAGCCAGAGACGTCCATGACTGAAAGAATGAGAGAACAATAACCCGGGTGACTGCGCCCGACAGGCAGTACCGCGGGTTGCCCAAACTGGCCACCTATTGAAGGGAGATGTAATACACGTGACCCAAACGCGTTCAGATCGTTTCGGTCGGGTTCGGTTCAAAAAAGAAAACAGCTCGTTGGCCAATCATATAGGCTGGTTTATGATAGACGCTGGTTCGGCAGAAGCCGGGGTTCGCTCATCGTCGCCTCTCTCGACGCCCTGCCTGACGAGCACGTTGTTTCCCCAGGTGACCGCCTACCTGCACGCCGACGAGTGTTATCTCGCGGGTCTTGTAACTGTTTAGCGATGTTGCGGCTGGTGTCGTCTGCGTCGAAACCCACAGCCAGTGGCATCCTAACGAAGTATGTTCCTGCATCTGTTCCATTGGGAGGTATGTGGCGATAATGAATGCCGCTGCAAGGGTGTCGACTGAACGCGTGGGCAGGAAGAAGAAGTTTTGCATCAACTTCAGCGAAGCAAGCGGACATTACTTTGACAGTAGATGGGAAGGAAGTAACTGTCCCGCAGGGTGCGTATGCGTTTCTTGAAGGTACGGGCGGCTTTGATGGACAGAGCGATCGTCCAGGTTCTGCTTTGATTCAAGCATGCGAAGCCGCTGGGGCTACGATACCACGGTAATTGCTATGATACGGGTGGATTGGGATACTTATTGATGTTCGTTTGTTGGGCAGGTTTTGTTATCATGACAGGTATGTCGTATTTGCCTCCCCTGCTACGCTTGCTGACATCCGATGCGTACGCGTTTAGGCTCGCGATCGCGGGAAACTGTCGGTATGTTGTGTTACCGTCTATTTCTCCTCGACCATCTGACGATCTCTGTAGTATGTGTCTGGTAGAGGTTGAGCGGTCACCAAAACCAATTGCATCATGGTGAGTTTGACATGACGTTGGGATACAGAGTCGACTGTTCATTGTACTCGCGCGTTGCAGCGCGATGCCCGCCATGCCTGGTGCAAAAGTGCACACTAACTCTCCTCTCGTCCATGAGGCACGGTATGTCTTGTCTCCCCATCTGCTCGTGCTGCCGTTATTAATATTACATAGAGAGGGTGTCATGGAATTTCTCTTATCCAATCACCCTTTAGATTGTCCCATCTGCGACCAGGGAGGAGAATGCGACTTGCAGGATCAGTCGATGCGATACGGAGCAGACCGTTCGCGCTTTCACGAAATCACAGGAAAGCGTGCCGTCGAGGACAAGGATCTTGGTCCTCTTGTCAAGACGTCCATGAACCGCTGCATTCAGTGCACTCGCTGTGTCCGTTTTGCGAATGAGGTCGCTGGAGTGGAGGAGCTTGGTACAACTGGCCGTGGGAACGACTTGCAGATCGGCACGTACGTGGAGAAGACGATGAACTCGGAGCTGTCTGGAAACATCGTGGACTTGTGCCCCGTCGGTGCGCTGACGAGCAAGCCATACGCATTCCACGCGCGTCCATGGGAGCTCAAGCACACGGACTCAGTCGACGTCATGGATGCTGTTGGCTCGAACATCCGCGTGGACTCGCGCGGACAGACGGTGATGCGCGTGCAGCCACGACCGAATGACGACGTGAACGAGGAGTGGATCAGTGACAAGACGCGCTATGCATATGACGGTTTGCGATTCCAGCGATTGACCATGCCGCTCATCAAGCAAGGCGATCGGTTCATCCCTGCATCCTGGGAGGATGCATTGAGTGCTATTGCGGACGGCCTGAATACGTCTGGCGCACGCGGTGATGAGATTCAGGCTGTTGCTGGCCACCTCGCTGATACCGAGTCGATGGTCGCGCTCAAGGATCTCGTGAACCGTCTTGGCTCCGATAACCTGGCCGTTGACTCCGTTGGTGGCCGTGCTGCCCCAGTGCATGCTGTGGATGTACGTTCGAACTACCTGTTCAACTCAACCATCCCCGGTGTCGAGCAGGCGGACGTCATCTTGCTCGTCGGCAGCAATCCGCGTCACGAGGCCGCTGTACTCAACTCGCGCATTCGCAAGAGCTGGCTTCATACGGCTCTCGATGTCGGACTCATTGGCGAACGCGTCGACACGGCATACGGATATGACTACCTGGGCTCGGATGCAAAGGCTGTTGCGGACTTCGTCTCAGGCAAGAGTGACTTTGCGAAGAAGTTCAAGTCTGCGAAGAAGCCGCTCATCATCGTCGGCAGTGCTCTGGTCGAGCACCCTGATGGCGCTGCGGTGTACAACGCGCTTGCGAAGTATGTGGAGGAGAACAAGGATACGCTTCTCACTCCAGAGTGGAATGGCTTCAGCGTTCTGCAGAGGGTATCTTTATTCATCTTCCTCTGTTAGGTGGCGCTAATGACTGTTAACAGATTGCATCGCGACCCGCCGCGTACGAGATCGGGTTTGTTTCCTCCAGGAAGGCATCTACGACGAAGCCAAAGTTCATCTACCTACTTAACGCTGATGAGGTCGATCCCAAGTCTATTCCTCAAGACGCCTTCGTCGTCTACCAGGGTCACCATGGTGACCTTGGCGCACAGCTCGCAGACGTGTGCCTGCCGGGCGCTGCATATACGGAAAAATCGATGACCTGGGTGAACACTGAAGGTCGTTCACAGATGGGTCGCGCAGCTGTTCCTCCTCCCGGCGCATCGCGGGAGGACTGGAAGATCATTCGGTTCGTTACCATCAGTTCCATTAACTGTTATAATTGGCTTACGTGTTGTGAAAATAGCGCGATTTCCGAAGTCTTGGACAACCCTCTGCCCTATGATGACGTTCTTCACTTGAGGGATCGCATGTGGGAGATCTCCCCTACGCTCGTGCGCTATGACTCGTCAGAGCCGACATCAGTTGAAGTCGCCCTCGCGGGCCTGAAGACGTTGGCTGCGGGCACCGCGAATGCTAAGGTTTCTGGCAAGCCACTCGCGAAGCCCATCAGCAACTTCTACCAGACAGATCCTATATCCCGAGCGTGAGTACACCTGGCCCGCAAACTACAGCGAGATCAATCTTGACATTCTTGTCTTGTTAGGTCCGTGACGATGGCGCAGTGCACACGTGCGTTTGTGAAGGGCGAAAACTATGGCTTCAGCGAACTGTCGAGTGGTTCGGAAGCGGCATACGCATAGCTATATGAATTTTTTATGTAATGAAACTGTTCTTTCCTTACTCCTTGACCCGGCAATGTAGACGGACGTGCATGGCATCACGCTGTGGCATTGAGAGTCGGCTCGGCGACGGGTTCTCAAGGCATCCGTCCATTCATCAAATCGAGCATGTTATGCTCGTGATTGGTGACGGTGTGATCAGCCGAGTCGCCTGCGCGAAGTGCTCGTCGAAAAAGCGGGTAATTATGAGGTCTGTTAGAGTCCTCCTAAATGCAAGCTGATGATACAACACTATACTACATACATGCACAACTAAACCAAAAAAAAAGCAAACAAAAACGACAGAAACAGTAAGATATATGCATCATGGAACAAAAACTACCATCAGCACATTCACCACGAGCTTCTCCAAGTCCCTTCCCTGCGCAAACGGCACACGCTCTTTCGTGATCGGCCCCGTCACACTAAAATCGTTCAGCAGCACGATGTCCGTCTCGGCGATGGGCACCGCGCCACTCTTTTGCACGCGGCGGTGCAGGTCATCGTCTTCTTGGCCATCAGGCTCCAGTGTGGACGAGTTGAATGTACCGGGTAGGCGCCCGCCATTGATGACAGAGATGGGCATGCGCGCATGCGAGCCATTGGGGCTCTCGCTGAGATCGCTGAGGAGCTCGACGGTCTTATCGACGGGCCAGATGTACCCGCCTGCCGTCCAGCGGAGCTCCGGTGAGAGCTTATAGAGCTTGATGGCGTGATATAGGAGCGAGTCGCCACCTTTGAGCTAGAGCCGCCATTGAGTGCTTAGTTCACAAAGCATATATCTGCACATACGTATGGCACGAGCGACTCGGCGAGCGATTCGGCAGGATTGACACCGTAGTCCCCCGTGAGGTAGAACGCGAGTCGCCGTCCGCGAGACCTGTTCAGTATCGGCGAGAGCAGATCGAGGAACGCGTCGCTCGGTACGATTAACGGATCAGGCTGGATGAGCGCGGGCCCGAACGTCTTGAGCTGCACACCGTAGCTGATCGTGATCCTGCAGCCCTTCTGCACCGTGTCGACCTCATGGTCCGCATCCGCCATGAACGCCGTCCACTCCATATCGCCGCTCTTCCCACCTCGCCCGGCAAACTGGTCCTCGCGCCCATCGGTACTGCGTACGATGAGGGTCCCGCCACGGAAACGCACGGGCAGCGTCACCACGATTGTCGCGACGCGATTGTCGCTTGGCCGCTGCTGGACGGGCAGGCTGTTGCCTTTGAGCACGATCTCAAGCTTGTCCCGGATCGCAGTTAGGTAGTGCCCCACGGGGAGCGTCGGGAAGAGCATATTCCGTACAGTCTCGAGGATCGGATGGTTCGCGATTTCGAGGGTCGTGGTGAGCGGGAGATCGGGAGGGTAGAATAACGATTCGTTCTCAGGAGACGTGTAGCCGTCTACGCCGGTGGGATGTGGTCTGCACGCCGCGATCAGCACGTCAAGCGCTGGTGGCATATCATGGTCGATGTCGATCGGGAAGTCGACCGAGTGTGTGATGCCGCTCTGCGTCGAGTTCAGCGTAAGTAACCGAATGTGATAAGCGACGGGCGAACTTTTGAACGGAAGAACAGAGTCAATGCGGACGGGTCGATCGGTATACGCCCGGACACCGCGAATGGATGCGCCTTGATCATCAGGAGAGCGGCCACGCTCGATCGGAATGCCGTCTCGTTGTCGAAGTCTTCCGATGGCCGTCTACGCCGCAATGAGGGCAGTGCGGCCGTAGATTGACCTGGAGAATGCTCAACCTCGAAGTCGGCCATGCTGCTGGAATGCTTGGGGTTCGTGTGCACATCGGGGTGGTGATAGACGCTCGAGCCTGGCGGAGCAGAATGCGCGCTAAGCGTCGGGCGAGGCATCGAAAGGTGATATACGCAGGTTGCTCGCAGTGAGCGGGCAGGGGGAACGTGTGTGGAGTGTTAGAGATTATCAACCACGGATGGACTCGAGGCCAAGACACTGGGCCTCGTGACGACGAGCCTGGTTCCGTACGCCGACCACGCATGAGCAGCATGGCTGGATACTAGATGAATGAGCGACGAGTCGTCCAGAGGTCTTTCATCAACAGCCTCCTGGCATGTCCGTTGCTCTTGCAGATTTTGAGATAACGAATGCAGTTTGTCCTCGGCATGTGGGCAGTAGAGCGGAAACTTAACTTTCATATGACCAATTGAAAGCACTCGTAGATTTGAAACCGACGGCGTCCGGCTCATGTACATATGCAGATGGAGACAAATTGTGTAAAGTGGAGTTGCCAAGTAAGATAGCCTTCTGCTCAGGAGACTCTGACTCCGCTTTCGCGGGAACTCGTATTCACCGCTCAGCGTTTCAGCGTGGCGAGCTTGCAAGCGGATGTATAACTATTTGCAGTTCGTATGGGCTCCAGCAAGACGAAGGTCGTTGCGCGACACGATGCGACCTTCCACATCGTGAATGCGGGTCGCTTGCATTTGTATATCGCGTTCGTGCATTTCGGTCGGCTCTAGAACGTGGACGTGAGTAGCGGCCATATCGGGCTCAAGAAGCTGCCTGTTTGGGTGCCATCAGTTCCCAGGCTTTCCTTGTGTGGCCCGCCACAATATTGTTCCTCTCACTCAATATCAGCTGTCCCCTTCTGCATGATTCGGAAATCCGTGAGTACCCACGTCGCAGGAGCTTCACTAGTTGTCGAAGTTCCAACATTGTTCTGTAGGTCGATGCTAACCCATGCCGCGCGGCAAGAGTCCTAGAAGCATAATACTTTGAAGCAGTTCAAGTTCCACACGGGGGTCTCAACTTTATTGACTTCGGTGAGTTCTGGCCCGTAGCGCCTTCCGAAGCATTTTGAAATATGCCGAGTAAAGCGGTCCTTCATCAACAGTTTTCCATTGCCCATTGCTCTTGCAGAGTTTGAGATAACGAATTACTAGTAGGGAGTAGACTGGAAACGACTTTTGGCATATGGCCAGTTGAAAGCACTCGTATATTTGAAGCTGATGACGTCCAACTCATACGCACCGCTCAGCGTCATGAACTTGCAGGCAGATGTATGGCGATTTGCGATCCGTATCGGTACCAGGCGAATTTGCTGGCAAGACAAGATCGTTGCGCGACACGTACTACGCGACCTTTCGCATCGTGGGAACGCAGGACCCACCTCAGCATAACCTGATGCAGCCTGCGGCAGTGCGGTGAGTACACGCCGTCCTCAGTCGAGTAGACGACGTTAAATGGGTCGTTTACAATTGTATATAGCGTTCGTGCATTTCGGTCGACTCTAGAACGTAGAGGCGAGCAAACCAAAAACGGTAGCAACCATATCATTGGCTCAAAAAGTTGCCTATTTGGGTGCCGTCAATTCCCAGGCCGCTTTCCTTGTGTGGCCTGCCACGACGTTGTCCCTCTTAGTCAATATCAGCTGTCTCCTTCTCGATGATCCGGAAATCCGTGCATACCTATTGGCATGTCGCAGGAGCTTCACTAGTTGTCGAAGCAGCTCCAGCATTGTTCTCAAGGTCGATGCTAACCCGTAGCAAGAGTCCTAGAAGCATAATACTACGAAGCAGTTCCACACGGGGGTCTCAACATTTCACATAGCGCCTTCGGAAGCATTTTGAAATACACAGAGTCAAGCGGCATGGAGTCCCAGTCACGAGTCGTACCTCTGGTACGACTTTGTGCTTCGATGTTGTTTAGCAATTCATCGTGTCTTTAGGCATGTGTCGCTGAACTGTAACACATCAGGACAGGCTGGAATAGGTCTGACATCGTCTGAGGCCATCCAACGCGTCCTAGGTTCAATGAAAAGCGGCGCAAGGATGATTTTTAATGCTAGAGCACGTCCATCAAGCAAGGTAACTGTATCGTCCTAGAACAACTTTGACACTTCACCAATATTTCAAATCCCTAGAGAATAGTGCCTTGAAACGAGGGACATCCGGAGTTCTATATGCCTGCTTCTCTTCCGAGCATGCATGACCTGTTACACGTAAAAAACGCCTGCATCGGCCCAAGCTGTCGGCTCATCAAGTCAAATTCAAGTTCTCTCCTCCCTCCGACACCTCCGGACCTGTCTCACTCCATACCCCTGAACGTGATCTCACAAGTGGGCCCTGACGGCGCGGGACACGACTGCCCCATGCGCCAGTCACCAATCTAGTCCGGGCGGCCAATGCATTTTCGACATTTCCTGACAAACGCGGATCAGGACCATCGGATGCATATTCACAAATTTCTCCCAGATCCCAATCATAAAGCGACGTCGTCGTGTTGCAGATGCCATGGGTCGCATCCTGACTATGCAAATATGTCTTGCCAATCGTGAGGAAGCCGGCGCAACAAGCAGTCGACGACGCATAGAAACCCTCAAAGTTTCCAGCCATGCCGAGCTGTCGAACAGGACCTTCGTTTCTCCATACGTGGTCCCCTAATTTCTGTCATTGGCCCCACGCGTCTGGCTGAGAGTGATGTCCTAAGGGGTGGAGAACGCTCGTAAGTCGATGGGATCCTGCAGCCGCGAAGGTGGGCGGAGATGAGTCCGGGGGGACAGCACGTTCTGGGCACATTAGCTTCGCGATGCGGGGTAGAGCTTCATTAGAAGTTCATCGAAAACATGGTTGCCGTGAAATTTGCTGGCGCAGCGCCAAACAGTTGATGCGGGGTGTGGGCTGATCGTCTATAAAGTGCGCCCCATATTCAGCTTGTCATGCCATCCATCTCACTAGAGCCGCTGTTTCTCTCATGCTGTTCAGGTCCTCGCAGCCGATGATGACGATTCGCACGTCCGACGATTCAAGCAGCCTCAAGGAGAAGGGGGACATCCGTGGGTAGGTGAAACGTTACGTTTCCGGCGAGTCTCTGTGTGTGTTCTGAGCGCTGAGCGGTGCGCGAACACAGCTACGATGAGAAAATAGAAGACGTCTCCCAGACGGTCCGAGTTGCTGGTCAGATCTCTGAGCTTGCAGTCGTGGCAGAAGATGAAGAGCGGACGACGTGGTTTGTGTGGCTCCTTGTCTGCTGCAGTAGCATCTCGGGTCTGCTCTTCGGTCGGTAGCAGTTGCCGTTTCGTCTTTCATAACAGATTTGTCATCATCATCATCGCATCGCAGGCTATGACACCGGGGTTATATCTGGTGCACTCGTCACGATCGGCTCAGATCTCGGGCCCGCCGAGCTCTCTTCATTTCAAAAGGTCAGTGCCACCAGATCCACGGATCATCGCTCACCCGCCCGCCCTCAGGAACTCATCACCTCCGCGACGACGCTCGGTGCCCTCATCGGCGGCCTCATCGCGGGCATGCTCTCCGACTTTCTCGGCCGCAGACCCGTCCTCGCCGCCGCCGACATCATCTTCATCGCCGGCGCGATCGGCCAGGCCGTATCCCACGCCGTGTGGCCCATGGTGACATCCCTTCCTCCTTCGTCATAGCTCTAGTCCTGACACATGCATGTGTGCTAGATCGGCGGCCGGTTCGTGATTGGCTTCGCCGTCGGCGTCGCATCGTGCATCGCGCCGGTATACATACAAGAACTATCGCCGACTCGCCTTCGAGGCCGCATGGTCGCGCTGAACTCCGCCTTCATCACTGGCGGCCAAGTCGTGGCGTATGGAATTGATGCAGCCTTCCAGAATGTCCATGGTGGTTGGCGGTACATGGTCGCTATCGGTGCGATACCCGCCGGGCTGCAGTTCATCTCTCTGCTCTTTCTCCCCGAGTCGCGTATGTGATGTCCATACTGCATTTTCCTGATGGCGGTATACTCAGCAGGACGAGATCAGCACGAATACTCATTCGCAGAGGTAACGTCGAAGCCGCGCACTGCGTGATGTCGAAGATCTATGGCCTTGCGACTCCGGAGCAGGTGGATCTCAAGGTATATTTTCTTGTTTTGGTCGCCGACGGAGTACGGCCGTTGACTTACGCTTCGCAGGTCAAAGTGCTGGAGGTCGCAGTCAAGCAGTGCGTCGAGATCACAAACTCGACGACTCTCTGGCAGCGATTCAAGTCCATCCTTTTCGTCGGTGTCAACCGCCGCGCACTCAGTAAGTCGTGCACACTTCTCTTTCCTTCGGTGCGCTAATGCCCTTCAGTCATTGGCTGTGGCCTGCAGGCGTTCCAGCAACTGGGCGGCTTCAACACTGTAAGTGATACCGGTATCAGTCCATCTCCGCCTGTCCTGACATACCGCGCACATCTAGCTCATGTACTACGGCGGTATGTATTTGCAGCCGGAAGAGACGAAGAAGTGATATTGATCACCCGCACCAGCCACGCTCTTCGAGGAAATCGGCTTCAATGACCCCATCGCCGCCGGCTTAGTCATCTCAGGCACCAACTTTATCTTCACGCTCTTCGCGATCAAGTACATCGACATCATTGGCCGACGAAAAATCATGATCTTCTCCATGCCCGGCATGGTCATCGGGCTCGTCGTCGTGAGCATCTCATTTTACTGTACGTCGGTCTGCACAACCTATCTTTTACGGTTTTGAGCGCGCTGACGTGGTTTCATTGCACGGCAGATATGACAAAGACGACGGGCGGGTTCCTCGTCTCAGGGACGAAGTACTCGCACACATGGTCGTCGCTCATCCTGGCGTCCATGATCTTCTACGTGGCATCGTACGCAATAGGCATGGGCAACGTCCCCTGGCAACAAGGCGAGCTCTTCGCCCTCGACGGTAAGCTCTCCCCCCTTCCATCCTCTACTCCCTCCTCCTCCTGATCTTCACCCCCACCCAACCTAGTCCGCGGCATCGGCACCTCCCTCTCCACGGCCATGAACTGGGGCACGAATCTCCTCATCAGCTCGACCTACCTCTCGCTCATGGCCGCCATCACTCCCGCAGGCGCCTTCGGCTTCTACGCGGGCCTCTGCCTGCTCGGATGGATCTTCTGCTTAACCTGCTACCCCGAGACGGCGGGGATTAGTCTCGAGGAGGTGCAGATCATCTTCCAGAATGGATTCGGTGTCCGTGATAGCGTGCGGCTCCGTGCGGAGAAGCGCGCAATCGTGCGGGCGGAGAAAGAGAGGCAGAAGGCTTGATGCGCGAGCGGTCGCTGGTATGCCAGTAAACATGTGCCGTGTCGTGTCCCCTTGATTATGACGAACATGTAAACGACCATGATATGTTCCTGTGATGTCTGCGACGCACTGTTGTATTTTGTAGGTTTTTCACTTTCACAGCGCCCAATCATGCGGATTGCTGGGATTCCCGTGTATTTATAAAATCTATCCTATGCGCTCAGCGATACGTGACACTTGTCTGAGCGAATGCGCCGCTACAGCTCGGATTTGGCCGAGGAACTTGATAACAATGTCTAAGGGTTGGCACTGGATCGTCAAATATCACGCATCAACATGAACCTCAAAGCCTTCTATGCTTTTGTTATTCCTCGCCGAGTGAGGTTACATACAAGCCTTGCTAATGTTACAATGAGTGTCTGAGGCCGCAAACCGTTCAACTACTAAAAAACAATTCAAAGTACTATATCATGCTACAGATCCGAGAATTTCACAAAGAATACAAAAAAGCATCATCCGTGAATCACTCGCGCATCCATTCACCGCCGCTCGCCAATTGTGCGAACACGCCGTGCTTTGCATGAGCTCCTCGTAAGTGCCCTCCTTCGCAACGGCACCATCATGCACGATGAGTATCCTATCGCACATGCACATCATCTGCAGCTTATGGGTCACGACGAGCGTCGTCCGCCCGATGCGTGCCCGTACGAGGGTATCCCAGCAACCATATCCATATCATTGACTCAAGAAGCTGACCGTTTGGGTGCCATTGGTTCCCGTGATTTATTTGTGTGGCTCACCGTAAGTTGTTCCTCTGAATATCAGCTGCTGAGCTTCTTTTGCCATCGTTGTCACCCGTAGGCTGAACATGGAAGGAGTGCTGCCAGTCTGCTTTACTTGGTTGCCATACTCCTAGTAGTCTCGCTCTCTCAGTCCAAGAATGCATGCTTCTTCGGCTTTTAGGTGAACATCTCTGGCAATGTGCTCCACGAAGTCAGGACACGATGCACAGACGCATGAGCAACCATGAAGTAAAGTACCATTCTGAACTCTTCCAGAATGCCTAATACATCCAGCAGACAAGAGACACACATCGCGCGCTAGAGCCACTCACATTTTTCAAATTCCTCAATCCACAATGTGGTTCGTATCGTTTAATGTTTATCCGAACCTCGCCCACCAAGGTTAACGTTCGACACCATCCATGGTGTCTTGTTACGCGCGGTGTAATCCGCCTTCCATTGCGAATGAATTTGATATGTCGCACCACCTATGCTTCAACTTTCATCGGTACGAGCGGTTCCCTCACATTTTGATCTTCAGGCGCACGATGTTGTATTTCTCGACTCACCGCCTCTCGAAACCAAGGGCAATGATGGGTCTATCAATGTCGTTGTATGACTCATTCATCATTAGGGCATAGCAGACGATTTTTCTGGTACGGCTGCTACATGCGCTCGACTTGGCTCATTTTCGAGGAGAATGATTGAAGTAGGCCATAGTGACTAGAGTATGAAAAATGCGCAGAAAAAAGCAAAAGGGTTTTGGACTGCGACTCTCCGCGAATGCGCCTTCCACTTCTCAGTTATCAGACGTGGCGTGCCACGTGCCTTGTGCTAGTTTGTACAACTGCAATAATTGCACATCTCCTTACTGTCAGACTAGCATGATCCATATCAGCCATTAAAAAAGCTTACTAGTCTCACTGGCATGCTGCGGAACGGCTAGCGAAGACGATATCCTAGGGCTTGTTGCGTTGGGCACATTATGACTTGACACTTGAGCTGTGAGAAGATGCTTTTAACGCACCTGTCATGCCTGTTCTGCATCTCATAAATCATTCCGGCATTGGCTTGAGACCTGCAAACATCAAACCGTGAGATTGACTTAGTATAGTGACATGTTGAAAAGACGCACTCGATGTCCCTGTCCCCTGAATTGTGAACACAGAAGGTGCTAGTGCTCTGCCTGAAATGACGGACAGTCTAGTGAGTTCACATTCTTAAAAAGCAAGGCGCGGTATGATGCTCACCCTTCTCCAATTTGAGGGTCGTCAAACACTGACTCAAAGTGAAACACGTCGTCTGTGCCGTGCGAGTAAGAGGACCAGTTTGTGCCGACATTGATCCCGTGCCCCGCTGCCTCCTTCAGGTTGAAGAACATCCTGCTCCCGAGAATACAGAGAAGTGTGGGACTGCCCATAGCTTGAATAACTGAGGTTAGCGTCGGTGACATAAGAACGATATCGTCAACGATGTATAAGACCGAACAGGATATCGCTCTGAGTTTCTCGTGAGCCTTGGTCATTCCGGTGCGATTTCTCTCAACTCACAGTGCGAAATAGACAGCTTGGTCCTTGATAAGCACCCATACGAGTCGCGATCCATGCAAACCATTCGATTTCCAGAACTTCGTGGCCTTGTAAAGAGCAAGAGCCAAGAGGAGAGCTTCGTACGCAAGCGGGATGGTCCTATTGATTGATGAGACACCTGTCAAGGAAACAGTAGAGTGGAAGAGCGCACCAGTCAAGAATATATGTGTCTTCGTTTCCAGGAGCAAAGTAACTGCACGACGTGATGCTTGGAGTGAGACCCAAAAGCCCGACTGTAGAGCTGCGTCAGACTACATACGGTCACAAAGCTAAGTGGCGCTTGCCTTCTTCTCCGAGAATGCCGATGACGACAAAGACTGCCTTCCCTATCGCGTCAAGCACAAGAAAGATTGACAGAAGCAATGTCAACCTCTTGTCTGACACGTACATTTAGGAAAATTGCGCAGAAACATCAAAGGGGACAGACCATTGTGGTACAGAGCTAGCACCCTGATCATAAGAATGTCTTCACCGTGCTCATCAGTACAGGAAGAGCGGAAGACATTATCGCGCGCACAATCGATGGCAATAATTGTGACCCAGTCTGCAAGCACAGGATCAATACGAGATATGATTTGAGGATGTTAGGGCGCGCACAGGAAAAGTCTTTGCCCCATTGCGAGACATTGCCTATAAGAAGAGCGTGATGAGATGACTTCTCAGGGGAGTTTGAGGTGGAGGCGCACACCTAGGATGGAAGTCAGTCCGATTATACCTCAAAAACAAAGAGCTTACTCAGTGAGAGTCGTGTTCAATGTGTACCCTTCAAAAAGGAAGGTCAGATCAAAGCGGTCGGATCATATGACAGGAAACTCACAGGGTATGGTAAATAATGCTCCACAGATGCCGCCATATCGGTTCTAGAGCTTTTAGTGTGTATATTGGACGGAACTGATGCTGCGCTTACTAGGAAGAATACGGTCTTCGTCATGCCAAGAGTGCATCCGTTCTGGGGTGGATCCAATTTTCAGCTAAACCATATACTCTGCATGCCAGCACACGCACCCAGAAGTATCTGACCTGCCCGCAACTTCATCAAACTGGCTTTGGTTGATCATAAAGCAGATATGCGACGCACCTCTTTGTCGAACGTGCAGACTAACAAGTCATCAGCCAGAAGCATATTGAATAATACACGTTAGAGACGTACTAGCATCGTAGCTTACCAAGGTTGCAAGAACGACGCTGACGTAGATACCCGTCTGGTTACCTTGCACCTGGTCTGGAACTTCGTCAGGTGAGAGGACCTCGCTCACGTCGCGTCCATAGAGAAGCATCTTGGGCGATAAAGAGACGAAGAAGGATCTGTACACCTCGGGCGGCCATCGCTTTAAACCTCGCACTCACGTTCCAAGAACAGCAGAGATGCGGTTTTAGAAGGAGACAGGGGAGACGCCACTGTGTATGCAGTGGGAAAAAATCAATCAGGCTGTCAAGAAGCCGCAGTTAGATTCAATTAGAATCATTCCGTGGAGAGCGGTAGGTGATAAATCAATACCTTGCCAGGCGGACACGCCTGCAGATGACATCATCAGCAAAATAATTTACGCTAGATCGCGCGATGTAGCTTTTATATCTAACCTCCCATATACAGCGCCTGACTAGAAATCTCTTTGTATTCTGCGAAGATTGTTGCACTGCTCCGGATTACGCGACGATTCTGAGAACGGAAAAACTTACATTCTGCACAGCATCATACACGCGCTGCACCTCAATGAACATCGCAGCTGTGAGCACTGCCACGGGACCGAGGGAGGGTAAAGGAGATGGCTGGAGTAGCTTCGGCGCGCCTCGTCACATACGCTTCTTATCAGGATATGGTATCGGATTGATTGTGTCAGACCACGTATACCGTAAAGTATCATTATCACCGCACTGGCGCAAACAACACGAGTGCGCTCATGAGGTGGCCTGCCTGTGATAGCCGCTATGGCTATACTACTTATATGCGATTCCTTACAGCAGCACCACAATCTGTGTCGCTGGACGCACGCACCCGGGTCCGCAAGACACAGGCGGGAAGCGCATAGCCGTCCGGACGCCCGAATGCCTAGCAGCTGCGCCCGTCAAGCCCCATGGCCATGGTATAAGGTTTGAGTGAAATGTTCGCTGACGCACCGCTTTCCATACCACATCCGCGACGCCAGGAGCGTCTGCAGACAAGGACAGCCATCTCGTGCGCCGAACGTCTAGGCAGTGTTAGTCGACAAAGTAGCCGATTCCTCGAGCTGCTGGTCAAGGGACTTTCGTCGAGCTGCATGCTCGTGCTGCAGGTCGTGACCGTTAACGTGCACGGTGTTGCGTTCTGGCATAAGAAAATCGTGAGAATAACGGTCGGCGCGAAGCTGAAGTAATTTGGTGCATTCTAAAGTTTAGCTCACCCTCACCGATATCCATTTGCGGCGGCCTCCGGTCATTTGACGACACCCCCTGGCACAGAGTCCAAGGCCGCCGTCGATGTCCCTCCCGCGGTATTCCTCATAACCGCCGCGGAGCAGCACGGGGCCGTGGTCGCACTGACGGCAGAAACATACCTATTCACATGCGTGGTGCCTAGGCTGAACTGTTCGATCTGTTGCAGTGGGCGGAGAAGTACGTTGTAATAGCAGGTGTTCGTGCATCTCGTTGGCAAACGTTCATGGAGTCAGGTTGTCACTAGGGATTGACCACTTACAGCATTCACACGAGAAGATATACGCTGTCCTGCTGCAGTTTTTCGTACCGATGGTGGATTTCTTTCAATTTGCTCCATTCATCAGTCGATTCTTTGGGCGGTCTCGTAGTGTTTGTCTTCGCGGCTCTGTGTCTGTCTCACCTATCCTGCATGCTCTTTCTTTGCGGTGACCAGTGGCGCCTCTGACGCACGGCTTTCAAGCGACGTCTGTGCTTTGAGGGGCCTACGAAGGAGAGAAAATCATCTATGGGTTCACCATACAGGCGGTGATAGTCGACAAAGTGACATGTCGATCTGTCAATAATTAACAGATTGTACTGGACGACAGTCCGAGGAATAAGCAAGAGTGAAGTGCAAGGAAAATCAAGACATACTTTTTATTGAACGAGAGACCGTTCATTCATATCACGAGCGCATGTGGATCTTGTATATAGCGTAATTACTTGAACAAGAGCTCCATGACGAGCGTGGTTTCCGAAAGCAAGAATGACACAGGATGGTGAGGTTGCATGGCTTCGCCATGCCATTCGAGAGTCAAAGTCAGTCATGCATTACAGCACGCGCAACTTGCGCGCCTTGTAGTACTGACGATTCGTGCCCCAAGAGTGTTCCAACATGTCTGCAGCGGCCACTCGGGCCAGTCATTTGACGGGATTCTTCGTGCTTGTCCTCTCTCACATCTCTATGACTAACTAATGCTTACTCTTCGTAAACACTCGATCAATCGTGAACTGCGCCTCACTCTGCCTCCGGCGCTAAAGTCTCAGAAAGCACTCTGCTCGCCTTGTTAGCTCAACTACCTTCTCCTCTGCGTCCGACGAGAACCTCACGGTGCTCGATCATCGCGCACTGCTGCCGACCACTGCAAGCACAAAGACGACGCAAGCCGTCAATGCGGAGTCGCCGCCATCCTCCCTGCGGAGCATTACTGGACTAGTGCTTCCGTGCTAGCCGCAGAAATGCACCTGTCTGCACTCGTAGTGCACAAGACCGATATCGCTGAGTTATCTCAAATGGAGAAGGAGAGGCGAGCTGCAATTTGAGGCATTTGCGCATCCCGCCGGAGGGCGTTCGTGTGGAATCCGGCCGTCGCAGTATGGAAGAACAGCAGCGCAGCGTTCTCATGGGAAGAGGTATGCGACGATGGATATACTTGCGGTGCGTGCTGGGACATGTTGATGCTGGGCTTCTGCTAACCTATCTTGCTCATTAGTCGATTTCATGGGTCATCTCGTAGCGTTTACTTTCGCGACTCTGTGTCTGATCTCTCCTCCTGAACGTGCTCCGCCTTCACGGTCATTGACACCGCAGTTCGCGACTCCTACTCTTCTCTGGTCACCTCTGCGGCTGTTCCTGCAAACTTCCTCTCGATAGCGGATCGAGCAAGGGACGTCCGCTATCAATACGAAGACGTTCTGTTGCGTCTCGTATGTAAAGCTGCTCGACGTCCAGTGGTGAGCCGGGTGATCGCCAGCAATGCCCCGACGTTGGAGCAGCCAATGCATGCGCTCTCCTATGTCATCGCCGTCCACGGCACCTTGCAGAGTGAGTGTTCTTCATCGTCAAGTGCTTCGATGCTTTCATGAGCGCTCATACTGATGTCGACGTAAAGAAGGGAATCCTAGAAACCGCCTCTTCAATCCTCGTGAATGAACTCATCATCGCTCGTCTAGCTTATTGAACGCTGGATGAAAAGACCGGGCATATCGCCAACAGGTCGTTGGAACGGGTCATTGGAAGGTTAAAGGAGAGCGGATATATCGAGGGCGCGATAGAGCATCCGGCTACCTTTCAAATGGAGCGTATTCGTTCTGACTTGGGCTCATGCAAGCGGTGATAAACAGGCCCAGGCATAGTGTGTAATCAAATCAATACGCAATAAACTACCTCAGCGACCGTCTGAAGGAGACTATAACCTCGCAAGTCCGTTTCCGTCTCTTATACTACCTACACACCGTGGAACAATGACAGCCTCTGCTATCAGTAAATAAAGTCCTGAAACGTGCCGATATGTGAAAATATCCAGAGAGCCAACGAAACTCCGATCCATCCACGATACTCGCAATACCCCACCAGGGCTAGTCGCTGCGTCAATACTTCCCGTCCGAACCTCCCGCTATCTTGACGTCGAAGTGACGAGATGCGCAGTGATACCTCATCGAGCCCGGTGTGCCTTGCAAGCAGCTTGGCATCCAGCGCAAGCTGCGTGAGCAGTTCATACAGTTCGTGAGGTACTGACTCGATGTGGGAACAGCTTGCGCACGCGCGCGCGAATTTGGATGCAGTCATCCAGTGGATGTCGTGGTTGCATCCCCAAGGTCGTCGAATACCCTGTGGCCCGCCGTCATACCCCGCTTCCTACATTCGCGCTTCTCCGCCCCTCACATTCACGTAGTGCTCGACAGGCTATCGAATGCACCATCACGCCGCTTTCCATCTCCCGTGCGAGCAGCTTTCCACTTCCGTGCGTCGACATCGACTCCGTCTGCGAAGGCCAGATTGTCGCCGTCCCGGGCCGTCCCATGAAAAGCGTCCCGCGCGCTCTGAAGACTTTGATGCAACGGAGTTCAGTCAGAGCGCTGGATCAAGGAGGGCAATTCCCGTTACGCGCGTAGGAGATCTAGGGCCACTCGCATGTATTGACGTTCACGCGTATGCACATTCCGCGCATATGTCTCAGGCGCAGGTTCGTGCTCACGATGATCAAGATGCGCGAATGTGCGTCGTTGCGTGAGTGCTGTGCTGATGGGATGGCTGGCGCTGGCAGTCGTGCCGCGCGCTGTTTAGCAATTACGCGGTCGAGTTGGAGATAGAAGAGAGATGAGGATCGAGATCGCCTCAAGGGAGCGGGTGACTGAGCAATCGCAGGTTGCAGGGAAGGAGGGCATGGCCGTTGAAAGGTACTTGTTGCAAAGAGTATCGATCTGAATTCGACTTGCGCTGTCTGATAGCGTTCGTATCGCCAGATTCATCGCATGCGGCACCTCGGCATTCGTGCATAGCAGCCATGGCGGATATATGTGTCGCAACATGCATCGCAGCGCGAATGAATATCAAGCCCCTTCGCCTCAAGGAGTCTCTCAATGGAGATGCTTCTTTAGTTCGAAGTGTCCGTATCATCCCCGATCGGAGGTTCCGCAACCTCAAATAGCCCCATCGAATTGAGCGTCGTCACTGTTACCGTGAAGACAACGAAATGGCTGGATAGGTGTTTTTTGGAGAATTCCGGCTAAGATCGCCTGGCCGCCGCGGAGACCTTGTGGGCTGATTCCGGCGGACCGCGTGCACTTGAGAGCGCATGAATGGGGAATGTAGCGGTTCTGGGATGCGCGATTGCTTGCGGAGCATACAGTTTGCAAGAGGTGGAGACGAGATAGAGAAGAGAGATGTCTGAGTTTGGGATGGCGATGGCGGTATGCGGGGAACTGGATGCTGGGACATGTTATATGTTCGCACGCGATGCATATGGAGTAGGGAATTGTGAAAGAGACGGTGATGTGTAGCCAAGAGCGTGCAGGGCCATATGACACTTGATAGCCGGAAAGACGAGGATAGAAGCGTTGAGCATGCCCTTCATCGTTGCTAGAGCGGAGACAATACCACGAAGTCGAGAATCAGCTAATGGGGATACAACGACTGCAATGATCACAATTGTTCTTCTAATGAACTTATTCCACTGTGGCGCTACAGTTCCAATATCGCGACGCAGATGAATGCGTGAGTCTAGGCGCGAAATGAGGGATACCCACCGTAAGATACCTCGCTCTATTAGTCTTGGGAATGAAAGTGCGAGCTCCTGCTTCCACTGCTCCTTGGTAACCCTGTCAAGGGGGAAACCATGTGCAAATTCTACTTTGCTCAGTGTCTTGAATGAGGCGGATGCAAGATGATTGTCGACCTCTCTGCACCGAGCACAGTTGTGGATATCGAGGAGTTTCTTCACCTCCTTTTTCATTTGACCGTTACGATCCCTCCCTACTCTCGCACCACGTCGGAGAACTATCACAATTTCTCGCAGCTGGCCTGACTTGAGTGAAAGTAAGACTTGACACAATGTGTCGATCTCAAACGCTCGAGAAGCACCCACAAAGGTTAGTCGTAGTCTCTGCAGTGAGGTGGTGCGAGTGAAGGATGGCACTAAACCTGGAGAGACTCTGGTTAGCATGAATGCTTACATAAACTTAAAGTGCGCACACCTGCAGCCGACACCTCTGTATGTGTCTGTTGTCCTGAGTACGGAAGAACCAATGGCAGTTCAAGGAGTGAGCCAGATGCAGCATCCAATAGTTGCTGGCATTTCGATTGGTCTTGCTTTTCAGTCCCAGAAGGTGAATCATCGATGATGAGTCTCTGCAAGCGACTCGAGATGCAAGGATGAGTCAAAAAGTCCATGAGGTTTTCAGGTCTCATGCGAGAAACTGCCCCAAGTAACAAGAACCTGATGTTGACGCGGTTGCGATATAGACCAAACGTATCGCGGTGGAACTCGTCACGTATAAATTCCACATCGCGCAATTCGAGTTCGACCAGAGCGCGCAGCGCGCAAACGAAGCGCCCAAAGACATTGATCGAGGAGAATGTAACACGGTAGAGATTGAGGCGAGTAACGGAGAAGCAGGAGAGATGCAGGAAAATGTCTCTGTGCATCGTCCACGGCTTCCACTCTGACATACTGATTTCGAGCGTCTCCATCCGGGGCAGCTTGGGAGCGAGCAGGATCGCCGCGGTCGACAATACTGACAAATCTGACCTCCAATCGCCGCCGCCCATCATGGCCATATTGTGCGGCCGCTTCGAGAGCTCGGGCGTCTGCTTCAGCTTCTTTGCATACGCCTGCACATCCTCGACACTGCTGATCGTGATCTGCCTGTGCAAGTGGACGCGACTCGGAGGGTACCACGCTCGGCAGACACGAGTGCACTGCCTCAAAGCACGCTGGTCGTCCCACAGATGGTCAATCACGTTCTCGCACACCTCCATCGGAAGCTGCGGCACAGTTCTCGTCGAGACTGGTTGCACCTCGGGCTCTACCACTAGTTGCGCCTCCGATTCCCAGTCGGATTCCACCTCGGATTCCAGCTCAGATTCTGCCTCGGATGACGCCGTACGGCCTGCCGTATCCCTTTCCTTGGTCTAACGCAGTGCAGGACGTAAATGGTTAGGAACGTATACATGGGGTTTGCCCGCTTACGGTTCCTGCAAGCTGTTGTGAATTGAAGAGTCTCCATCTTTTCGTCCCGTCTGCGAGACGTTTCAGCTTCCATTCGATGGAATCCATATCGTTAGAGTAGACAGTTGCGGAGGATGCTCACAGGTGTGAGTTTCCGAGCTGGCTGCTCATCGCATTGCAACGTGGCTATATATACCATATCTTCCAGGAATACAGACACCGCCCACATGACCGTGCTGCACAGCCACGTTCGGATCACACAGACAACAATCATTCAATCGGGGTGCTACAGTATCTGCAGGTGCTGTAGCCAAGCCGTCCATTCATCGATAACGCATGCACAGCAAAGCGGTATAATTAACGGCCGAAGAAACAGAACCATGTGTATCTGAGCAGCTGCAGACACGGGTAAAAGACGAGGCACTACATGCATAGCGCAATTGTCTCGTTTCCTCCAAGTCCGTATGTGCATCTTTCAGTGCGTCCTTAAAGCACATAGACTCAGGACGCACCTTGCTGGATGAATACACGTCCATGAAGTTCATTAAATCTCCCTTATATAGCGCCTGACAAGAAGGCTTTAAGCATATTGCTGCACCACTTCGGATTTTGCAATGACTCCGGGAACCGAATGACCGCTGTTTTGCACAGCATCTTAGACACGCTGCGCCTCGAGGAGCATCACAGCCATGAGCACTGCCACGTAACGGAGCGAGGGCAAAGGGAATGGCTGGAGAAACTTCGGGAGGCCGCGCCTCGTCATGTACACTTCTTATCAGGATATGTTATCAAATCGATGGTATCAAACCACACATACCTTCATCACATCGCCGCACTGGGCGCAGACACCACGAGTGCAGCCATGAGGTTGCCTACCCGTCATCGCCACTGAGGCTATGCCACGAGAACGAGGCTCTCTAGCAGTACTGCAGCACGCGCATACGCGCGCACAGCTTCGAAAGATGCAGAAGGAAAATGCAAGGACGTTGTGTCCCTGAAAACATAGGATGTGCGTTCCATCATTCCTAGTCACAGCCCAAGGTGTGAATGGAAACGTTCACTGACGGACCGCATTCAAGCCACGTCCGTGGCGCGAGGAGCGTCTGCCGGACAAGACAGGCACTGAACATCCACGCAGCGATAGTCGAGTCGACAAAGCGGCCAATTCCTCGAGCTTCCAGCCAGGAAACCTTCGAGATGGCGTTGGTGAGAAGCTGGACAGCAACATGTGTGACGATGGATCGGCCGCAATGGAGAAGACGAGGAACGACGACACTCACGATCGCTCAGATTACGCGTGCATGTGGGGATACTGTACACCGCGCCCTTCGTCTGCCTACAAGCGCAGCGCCTGAAAGCAAGATAAGGGCCACATTGGTGTTGATGTTGAGGCTTGAGGCCATACTAGTTGGCTCGCGATAACAGCATCGCATCTTGATGGAATGGACGCACGCAAGGCCGCGAGAAGCGGTGCAGATGTCCGCATAGGATCTGCGCTCCGTATATTGCCCACATTTGGTCTGCTAACGCGTCGATTGCATGCCACGTCTGGTTTGAGGGACCCGTGAAGGCGAAGACAGCCATCTGCGATGCCGCTTACCGTCCAGGAGGCAGTCAACATATGATCGTTTCCTCGAGCTGTCAGCCAGAGAAGGCTCCTCGCGCCAGATGGTCGTGCTGCAAGTCGCAGAGGCAGATCAATGGATGTTGCGTTCTGACAAATGCAAATCGTAGTGGACGAAAATTGGAGTGAGGCGGACGAAAAATCAGGACGTACTTGAACGGTCGACAGATCGACCGTCTATTCACATTGCAGGCGCACGTGGATCTTGTACCTGGCATGGCTGCCTGAACTAAAGAGCTCTAATACGAGCATGGTGTCCGACAGCGAGAACGAGGGAGAATGTTGAGATTGCACAGCTACGTCGTGCCGTCAAAGTTCGCCCTGCGAGAGTTAAACAATTAACTTAGCGCCCAGTATGTAGCATCAATCCACGCCTGGCCGCCTGGCCACTGCATGGCCACTGCATGTCTCGGCATTTGACGAGACATGCGGGTTCGCTCCTGCTTTCCCTCTTCCTCGTCTCTACTCTACGATTGAACATTCGTTCTTCATAGCTTTCGCTTTGCGGACGCTAGATTAGACGTGAACATGGTGAATTTCGCAGATCCTGACTCCACCGCACGCAAGCCATCAATGCGTTCGTGGCCATCCCTCCCGAGGAGCAGTAGTAGTCTCAGGCTCTTGCTTGGTGCAGAAACGCGCCCGTCTGCGCTCATAGCCGCAAAATCGAGGTCGCTGAGCTGTCACAAATAAAGAAGGAGAAGCGTGTCACGTTTTTAGGTCCTCATGCATCCCGCCGAAAGGCGTTCATGTGGTATCCGGCTGTCGCAGCACGGAAGGGCAGCAGGTGAGCGTTCTCATGGAGAGAGGTACGCTGGGATCGAGATGCGTATGGTGCGTACCGGATCATATCGATGGCAGCTGCTGCTGACCTCTCTCGCTCATCTGTCGACTGTCCTGTAGCGTTCTCCTTCGCGACTCTATATCCGATCGACCTCATCGTGCTCTGCCTTCGCTGTCACCGACCCTGCACTTCACGACCTCTCATTCTACTCCGTTCGCCTTCATGGCAGGCCCTGCAACATTCCTCTTGCTTGATAATATATGGTAGACATTTTCATAACAGATCGAGCATGGTACGTCTGCTATCAATACGAAGACATCGACTCTGTTGATTTTGCTCAGCATACGATCGGTTTCGCTATTGATGACTCGGCACGCGAGACGACTACCAAGCGTGAGCGCATCTAATCGAATCGTTCGCATCTGAGACATCCGCCGTGTGCTGCTTGTGTGAGATCCGGCATTCGCAGCTCGGCACATGCGCTTGACATGAGGCTCCTCAATCGAGTGACACAATTTTTGCACCATGCAAGGCAAGTGTTTCTTCATGGCCGACTGCTTGTATTCACTTACGAATGACAATGTGGGTTGCAGATTCATATGGACTGGAGCGGTCGTATCCGCGCCCGGTCTCATCGGACCTCCGGCTGGTGGAAAAGCTCGACAAGAATATCGAGGAGATCTCCAACGGACCTAGGTGTGGAGGGGATATGGAGCAAGTCGGCAGCGTTCAGGGGAGAGGTGAAGGATCGTCGCATCGCTGTGCGTGGTCCGAGAGTGCAAAATTAAAGTGCGCAATCACGTCCTTCGGATGCCTACAATAACCTTTACAATAATTTCGTCCTGTAGGATGGACCGTACCTCGTGGCGTTCGAGGCTGCGAACATCTTTGATTACGTCGCGACCGGTATCGACTTAGAAACAGGGTACCCTATGGCCCGACTCCTCAATTCTAGTGAAGACACTCTCATCGCTCCTCTAGCTCCTCGATTCTTGGATGAGAAGACCAAATATACAACCAACGGGTCACCGGAATGTTCGAGGAGAGCAAATATAGTCGAGAGCGTCATAGAGAATAAGAGTATCGTACAGTTAGTGCGTGCATGTTCTGACTTGGGCTGATGCAAGCGCGATGAACAGGCCCGACTATATTGCGTAATCTAGTCAAATCCTCTCTACAAATGTCTGCAGAAACACATAACCTCGCAGGTCCGTCTCCAATTCCTGTACTATACACTCGCCGTGAAACAATACAAACCTCGTGTTTTCAGTAGATAAAGTCCTAAACCGCGCCGGGTATGCGACAACATCCACTGAGCCAGCACAACTCCGATCCATACACAGCACTTCCAACACTGCACCTGATCCAAGTACTCCAGCAACACGTCCTGTCGAAACCTCCCGCTATCCTGACGCCAAACCTGCAGGACGTGCAGTGGGGCCTCATCGAGCCCACTGAGCTTTGCAAGCAGCGTGCCGTCCAGCGCACGCTACGTGAGCAGTTCGTTCACTTGATGAGGTGCCGCCTCGATGCAGGAACAGCCAGCGCCTGTGCTCACGTACCTCAACGCGGTCATCCGGTGAATTCGCGATTGCACCGCAAATCCGTGGAACACGCTGTGGCCTGCCGTCTCCGTCCCTCACGTCCGGAAGGTACTTGCTAGGTCATCCAATGCGCCGTCACGCCGCTCTCCATCTCCCGCGTGAGCGGAATTCCGTGCCCGAGCGTCGACATCATCTCCGTCAGCGCAGGCCAGATCGGCGCCATCCCAATCCCGTTCGTGAACATGGTCCGCGCACTGTTGGGCCCTGAGGTAAGGGGGCTCTGGTTGGATCGTTGAGTTAAGGACCGCTAGATCCTGCTTCGTACGAGGAAGATCAAGGGCCACCGGCACGCGTTGACGTTCATGCGTACGGACAGTCCACGCATATGTCTCGGGCACGGGTTCGCGCTCGTACAGATGAATCTGGTCTGATGCGGATCGTCGATGGAGGAGTGTATCGGTGGGATGTCCGCTGGTGGCAGGCCAACTGCATGTTTTCATTGAGGCCATGTGTTCGAGTTGAATGACGAGCGGCAGATGAGGTTCGAGGTCATCCTGGGCTGACTGAGCACCTACGGATCACAGGGGAGGAGAGCGTGCGGACTCCGTTGAGCCTCCGCCGGCTAGAGTCAGTTCGCTCCTGAAATCGCATCGCCTGATGTTGTCATATCGCCGTGGTTCGTTGCGTGATATAGCGTCTTGACATTGTTTGTAGAGATTGCGAATGTGGGTGCACATACGAGCACGGAATATGTAGTGTGGCATGAGATAAAATATCAGGCCAGTTCGCCTTCAGGAGCCTCTCAGCGGAGACGGATCCAGTGGGTCTGCTGTGCCCATATTGAATCACCCGTCAAAATGCGGATAGTCCGATAGAATAAGCGTCTCAGGCATCGCCGTGCGGACGACGAAACAGACGGGCAGACATCTTCTGGGGAATCCTGACCAAGATTACCTGGCCGCCATCGAGTCCTAGTGGGTGGATTCCAGCGGATAGCGCATGTGTATGAATGGGGAATGTAGCAGTCGTGGGATGAGCGATCGTTGGTGGAGCATACGGAGATGGAGACGAGATGGAGAAAATAGATGTCTGAGCGTCGGAATGGCAATGGCGATATGCGAGAACCGGATGCTAGACCTTGATGTACGCGGAGTAGGGGATTGCGGAAGAAATCGTGGTGGGTAACCGAGAACGTGCACGGCCATACAACACTTCGGAGGGCCGGCGAGGTGAGGGTAGAAGCCTGCGCAGTCCACTTGAGTGTGCCCTTCACTGTTGCCAGAGTGGAGACAAATCCGCGAACGTGGGAAGGATCTGCTGGAGATACAATGGCCGTGATAATCAAAAGCTTTCATCCGGCAATAATCCCTTTGCCCCAATCGTGGCGCTGTAGTGCCAATATCGCGACACGGGGTGAATGCATGAGTCTAGGCGTAAAATGTGGGATACTCACCGGAAGATGCCTCGTTTGGTCAGTTTTGGGAATAAAGATTCAAGTTGCTGCTTCCACTGCTCCCCAGACAATGTTGTACTACTGGTCCAACTCCGATATATAAGCACAAATTCTATTCTGCCCAGCAATCCGAATGAATCAGACGAAAAATGATTGTCAATCTCTTTGGAATGAGCAGACTGATGGAGTTTCAGAAAGCCCTTCACTTCCTCCTTCGTGTTGCTCCATCCATATAAGAGTGTTTCCTGTTCCTGGCAATGAACCACTATCAAAATTTTTCGAAGCTGGCCTGACTTGATTGAAAGTAACGTTTGACACAATATGTCCAGATTAAAATCTTGCAAAGAATCAAACAAGTCCATCCGTAGTCTCTGCAGTGAGGTATGGTCACTGAATGATGGCACCAAAGCTAGAGAGACTTTAAATAGCAGAAATGCTTGCATAAAGCTAGAGCGCACACCTGCAGTAGACACCTCTGTACCCGTCTGTAGTGCTGAGGATCGAAGATCGCATCGCAGTTGTGAGAGTGAGCCAGAGGCAGCATCCAACAATGGCTGCCGGTCCCATTTGTATTGTGACATATCCGCATTTGTAACTCTGAGGTCCAATTTCTGCAAGCGACTCGAGATGCCAGGATAAGCAAAGAAGTCGACGAGTTTCCCATGTATCCCGAAATTGCTGAGTTCCAAGGAGGTGATATTGACGCGATCGCGATATGGACTAAATGTATCGCGGTGGAAGTGGTAATGTGTGAATTCAAGATCCCAGCATGTGAGCGTGACGAGGCGTGGCAGCGCGCAGACGAAGCGCCCAAAGACGGTGATCGACGGGAATCTGACATCATAGAGATGGAGGCGAGTGACAGAGAAGCCAGAGAGATGCAGGAAGACGTCGCGGTGCATCGTCCACGGCTCCCACTCTGAATGCCAGATTGTAAGCGTCTCCAGCCGGGGCAGCTTGCGAGCGAGCAGGATCGCCGCCAGCGACAATGCTGATAGATCTGTCCTCAGATGACCCAATATGGTCATATCGTGCGGCCACTTCGACAGCTCGGGCGCCTGCTTCAGCTCCTTCACATATGCCTTCACACCCTTGACACTATAGATCGTGATGTCCGTGCGCAAGTGGAAGCGACAGGGAGGGTACCACGCTCGGCAGACGAGCCTGCACTTCCGCAAAGTCCACTGGTCGTCCCACAGATGGTCAATCACGTTCTCCCACACCCAGACCGGAAGCTGCGGCAGAGTACTCGTCGCCGATGAGCCAGTCTTGACAGCCTCACCCTTGATCTAACGCAGCGCAGCGCATAAATCGTCAAGAACGCATACGCGGCGCTTTCCCACTTACCGTTGGCTCAAGCCTTTGTACCTTGAGTACCTTGTCCCCTGAAGCTTTCGTGACGTGTTTCAGGTACTGTTCTGAGGATGCCATAGTTGTTGTCGAGTGGTCGGTAGATGGTCGCAGGATTGACTTTCCAGGCCGGCTCTTGGGATATATGTAGGAGTCTCATCGCATTGCAACGTGCCTCTGTACGTAGTGTCTTCTGGGAACCCACACACCGCCTACCTAACTGCGTGCAGTGTGCAAGGCAGGGATTGCACAGCTATGTTCAGACCAGCCGGTCACTTAGGGTGATTGCTGTACGTGCACCGCCCGTTCATCACATGTCAGCAGTCTATTTGGCAGTCGAACCATGTGTACCTCAGCGGCTTCAGACACGGGCACAGGTGAGGCGAGGCATGACATGTATAGCACCTACTGTTCATTATCTAAAGTACTTATGTGTGTCCGTGAGTGAGTCGCTACGGCTCACGCACATTACATCGCACAGACTGAGGATTTTACGTACCTTGCAGTTGTATAGAAGCTCATCGAACCTCGCATATTCAGCACCCGGCTAGAAGTCACTTCGTACTCTGCGGGCATTGCTGCACTGCTGCGCATCCGCGACCATTCTGAGCACGGAAAAACTTCTATTCTGCACAGCATCGTAGACGCACTGCACCTCAATGAACATCGCAGCTATGATCACTGCCACGAGACGGAGTGAAAGCAAATCGGATAGCTGGAGGAACTTCGGGGCGCCGCGTTTCATCATGTACACTTCCCATCAAGATATGATATTAGATTGACAGTATCAGAGCACACATACCGTTAAGAGTCGTCAAGTGAACCACATCGGCACATCGGCGCAGATACCACGAGTGCATGAGGTTGCCCACCCGTCCTGACGTCGTCGCCGCTGAGGCTATGCCACTAGAATGAGGCCCTCTAGCGATACCGCAGTATGCGCAGGGCGCACGCACACAGAATGGCAAGATGAAGACAAAAATGCAAGGACGTAATGATGCACGAATATCTACGAGCTGCGCCAGTCAATTCCCGGATAGCCACATCCCAACTTTGTCTGAATAGAAGCGTTCGCTGACGCACCGCATTCGACCCCCATCCGTGGCGCGAGGAGCGTCTGCTGGACAAGACAGGCGCTGACAATTCATGCAGCGTAGTCGAGTCGACAAAGCGGCTGATTCCTCGAGCTTCCAGCCAGGAAAACTTCCAGATGGTGTCGCTGAGAAGCTAAATAGCAGCATGTGCGATGATGAATCGGCCGCAACGGAGAAGACCAGGAACGACGACACTCACGATCGCTCAGATTACGCGTGGAGGTGGGGATACTGTACATCGCGCCCTTCGTCTGCCTACAAGGGCAGCGCCTGCGAGCGAGAATCGGGTCTTGTTGATACTGATGTTGAAGCTTGAGGCTATACTAGTAGTTGGCTCACGATAACAGCATCGCAGCTTCATTGAATGGATGCACGCAAGGCCGTAGGAAGCAGGTGGGTGACACCAGGGTCCGCATAGGATCTGCGCTCTCTTGTCGGTCCGTATACCGGCTATACTTGGTCTGCTGATGCACCAGCCTTCATTCCATCTGATTTGAGGGACGCGTGAAGGCGAAGACAGCCATCTGCCATGCTAACCTTCCAGGCGGCAGTCCACATGGTGATCGTTTCCTCGAGCTATCAGCCAGACAAGGCTTCGCGAGCCAGATAATAGTGCTGCACATCGTGAAGGCAGATCAGTGAATGTTGTTCTGATAGATACAAATCGCAGTGGATGATAATTGGAGTGAAATCACGACGTACTTGAGTCGACAGATCGACCGTCTATTCACATTGCAGGCGCGCGTGGACCCTGTGCCTAGCATATTGTCTGGGTTGAAGAGCTCAGCCACAAGCGTGGTGTCCAAAAGCGAGGGCAGTCGACGTAGAACGTTGAGATTCCACGGCTCTCTCGTGCCGTCAAAGTTCACCCTGCGAGAGTAAAAGTCAATCATTTAAACTGCCAGTGTGGCACGATCGGTATCAGTTTGATGGCATCAACCCGCGCCACTGCATGTCTCGGCGTTTGACGAGACATCTACTCTACGATTCAATAGTCATAGCTTGCTCCGATTGTGCGCGTCGATAGCGCTGTTTGTGGACACTCGACTAGTCAACTAGTCATGAACATGGTAAATTTCGAAGTCTTCGCCCCGCTCCGCCATTGGCGCTCTCACTGCCACTCAGAAAGTACCTTGCTCGCCGCCAGCTCAATCGCTTTTTCGCATGCATCCGACGAGAACGTCACTGCGCTAAAGTTTCGCGCACTGATACTGACTCCACCGCGAGCACAAAGACCGCGCAAGCTGTCAATTCGTTCGTGGCCAACCTGTCCAGGAGACAAGGTCCGCATGACGATGCACCGGAAGGAAGATATCCCCGACTTTGCCGGCTTCAAGTTGTTCCTCTCGATATCGGCTGTCTCGTTTTGGATGATTCAGAAATTCCTGCATTCCCATGTCGCAGAAGTTTCGCTAGTTGTTTTGTCGAAGCTCCAGCATTGTTCTAAAGGTCGACGTTGATTCGCGGCAAGAGCCTGAGTCCTAGAAGCATAACACTACGAAGGAGTTCCACATGGGAGTCTCAACTTTGTTGATTTCGGTGAGACTTGGCTCGTAGCGCCCTCGAACATTTTTTAATGAAATATGCAGAGTCAAGCTGTACGACTTTGTGCTTCAATGTTGCTTAGCAATTCATCGTCTCTTTAGAAATATATTTCTGAACTCTAACGCATCATGACCGGCTGGAATAGATGTGAGTCATGACATCGTCTGAGGTCTTTCCAACTCGTTCTAGATTCAGTCAAGACTCAGAATGCGGCACAAGGATGATTTTCGACGCTACAACACGTCAACCAAGCGAGGTAAATGCATCGTCCTAAAATAACGTTCGCACTTCAATATCAAACCCTTTCGCATTTCGTAAACGCACTCCACCGAGGGGCTTTTGAACGACTGAAGTTGAATGTAGAGCACCAATAAGTCAAATCCTGGAGAATAGTAGTACTCCGAAACGAGGATCATCCGGAGTTCTATATGCCTTCTTCTCTTCCGAGAACGCATCGTCCTAAGCCGCCGGACTAGTTAAGTCAAACTCTCAAGTTCTCCCCCTCACTGGGCTCTCTCCGCCCTCTGCGGGATCGCACACCGCGCCCAACCTGGCCAATTATCCCAACCCAGAACGCGGACCGTTTCTCCTCCACTCCACGACCCGGAGTGTGATCTCACAACTGCGCCTGGCGGCGCGGAATACGAGCGCCTCGTGCGCCAGTCATCAATGCAGTTCGGGCGGCCAAAGCGTTTTTGACCGTTCCTGACAAAGGCGGATGAGGACCATCGGATCGGCGGCGTCTTCGCACCTTTCTCCCAGATCTCATATATCAGGCGACGACGTCGTGAGGCTGATGCCCTGGCGTCGCATCCTGACTACGCGGGTGCGTCTTGGTCTTGTCTACCGCGAGTGAGTAGCCGCGATATGCACTCGACGGCACAGAGACCCTCGTACTCCTGGCCACGCCGAGCTATCGGAGAGGACCTGTTTTAACATACCACCTCGCTTCTCCATGAGTGGCTTTCTGATCTTTGTTGTGATCCAAGCCGGAAAGATCTCCTCCAGGCGTTCTCCACCGATTACTTGCCCTGGGGCCAATTCCCTTAGCCACAAACGACGTGCCAACTCAGCGAGCACTTCGCTCCACGAGACCTCGACTACCCAACGACTTGTTCCCTGGAGCGTCCATGCAAAATGCAGAACGCAGCACTCGTCAACGTCACAGCGGGCCTTGCTGGACTTGTACTTGTGCATATTGGCCTTCGGATTCCGGCGCGGATGCCGCACAGGGATCTGCACGGTACACGGCTTGACTAGCGACTGCTGGAAACGTGCTTGACCAATGCGTGAGCTCGGAGACTGATCAAGCGGTAACTGTGGTCGAAAATCTTTATTGTGCGGACGCGTCGTATGCGGGTTTACCCGCGTGCAACTCCGGCAGGTTTTCTCCGCGTTACTGCCTGACACTAGGGTTGTGTCTCTTGCGGGCGTTTCCTTGTTTTATCATTCATCCTCCCGCTATTTTCGTGATGGTCGGTATATTCTTTCTTGGAAATGTGATGGCGATCTGGAGCGATCGCACAGATCTGTTCTGCAGTCTGAACGTCGAAAAACAAGGAGCTGCGGTGTTTGACGGCGGAAGGAGTTGTTGCGAGCTCTGTTGGTCTCTCATGAAATCTCACCGGCACCGTTGAACCTCAAATCAAGGAGACTAGCTCGTGACGAGCACCGCGTACCTCGTAGGAATCATAGGAACATCGGACCGAGTTCCCCCCACCTAATATACGAACCAATTGCAATTTGAGACACGGTGACCCACAATAAAAGCCGCATCTACAAGGCATTCCGCTCCGAAGGAGGCTCGCCCGGGACTAGGTTCGCAACGCCGCGATTGGTGGCAGGATCGACCTATCATTTTGCTGTGGGGCTGGACAAATCCGACGGAGTGCATAGGAGACGTCGGATGTCGGGCCTGCTCCCGGGAATGGACCTGATCTGACGGATGTGCTCGTATACGAGTATGTCAGAACACGGGCTTGCTCCTAGAACGCTATAGTTGGATGTATGCTTTCAGGCTACGTGAGATCATCGATCACAATCAAGCTATCTCAGTACGTATGTAGATCGCTCCCCAGCAACAGGCTTACTGAATGGTCCCTCGCAGGAAGGCTGCAACTCTGGTTCAAAGAAAGTCCTTACCACCGTCTTCACACAACCATCACATGCTATGTCCAATCGCCTCGACCGGAACACCGGCAGCGCATCCGCGTTGTCCCCACACTACCCCACACTATATGATGGAGCGAGGTCTGGGGTAGATCACCAAGCTGCGCTCACGAGTCGGCAGACAGCGATCCAGATCGTTCAAGTCTCCAATCAACGGACCCGGATGACAGGGCCGCATCCCGGATGTTGCATCTGGCAGGTCTTGTTCCAAGGAAGTTAGAGCGGTACACGCCACGGCGCAAGTCAGGCACGACAGTATTTTTATGAACGACAGACATTTCAACGATTATTCACTGTCAAGATCTCGAGAGACGCTTGCTGCTGAGGTGGTGTGCAAGCGCATTGGCCCGACGCGTCTGTGGCTGAGAGTGAACGCGCGCCAAGGGTGCTGCGTCAGGTGATAGAATCCGGCTGGCGGCCCGGCAATCGAGGCAGAAAACATTGGTGCGTTGAGGGGATTCAGCAGCCGCGAATGTGGGCGAGGATGAGTCCGGGGACAGCGTGTTCTGGGCACATGAGCTTCGCGATGCGGGGTAGAGTTTCATTCGAATTTCACCGAAAACCTTTTGCCGTGAATTTCGCTGGCGCAGCGCTAAACAATTGATGCGGGTGTGGGCTGATCGTCTATAAAGTGCACCCCGTATTCAGCCTGTCATGCCGTCTCGCCTTTTGCCAGGAACGGCGTCACGTACTGTATCGCTAGGGCCGCTGTTTTTCTCATGCTGTCCCCTTCGCAGCCGATGATGACGACCCGCACGTCCGACGACTCGAGCAGCCTAAAGGAGAAGGGGGCCATCCGTGGGTAGGTGAACGTCATGTTTTTCTGCGCGTGTTCTGAGCGGTGGCGCGACACAGCTACGATGAGAAAACGGAAGATGTCTCCCAGACGGTGGTCCGAGCTGCTGGTGAGATCTCTGAGCTTGCAGTTGTCGCAGAAGGTGAAGAGCGGACGACATGGTTTGTGTGGATGCTTGTCTGCTGCAGTAGCATCTCGGGTCTGCTCTTCGGTCGGTACCAGTACTTGTTTCGTCTTCCATAACAGAGCGTCATCATCGCGTGCAGGCTATGACACCGGGGTTATATCTGGCGCACTCGTCACGATCGGCTCAGATCTCGGGCCCGCCGAGCTCTCTTCATTTCAAAAGGTCAGTGCCACCAGATCCGCCGTAGATCGTCGCTCACCCGCTCACCCGCCCACCCTCAGGAACTCATCACCTCCGCGACGACGCTCGGCGCCCTCATCGGCGGCCTCATCGCGGGCATGCTCTCCGACTACCTCGGCCGGAGACCCGTCCTCGCCTCCGCCGACATCATCTTCATCGCCGGCGCGATCGGCCAGGCCGTCTCCCACGCCGTGTGGCCCATGGTAACTTCCACCGCTCTCGTAGTTGTACCTCTATTCTTATTAATGATGTGCGTGTGTGCTAGATTGGTGGCCGGTTCGTGATCGGCTTCGCCGTCGGCGTCGCGTCCTGCATCGCGCCGCTATATATCCAAGAACTATCGCCGACTCGCCTCCGAGGCCGCATGGTCGCGCTGAACGTCGCAGCCATCACTGGCGGCCAAGTCGTGGCGTACGGAATCGACGCAGCATTCCAGAGCAGACACGGTGGCTGGAGATACATGGTTGGTATCGGTTCGATACCCGCCGGACTGCAGTTCATCTCCCTGCTCTTTCTTCCCGAGTCGCGTACGTGATGTCCACGCTGCATCTTCGCGATGGTGAAATACTTAGCAGCGCGAGATCAGCACGGATACTCCTTCGCAGGGGTAACGTGGAAGCCGCACGCCGCGTGATGTCGAAAATCTATGCACTCGCGACTCCGGAGCAGGTGGATCTCAAGGTATTTTTTTTTTCTCTTTTGGTCGCCGATGGAGTACGGATGTTGACTTGCACCTCGCAGGTCAAAGTGCTAGAGACCGCAGTCAAACAGAGCGTCGAGATCACAAACTCGACGACCCTCTGGCAGCGATTCAAGTCCATTCTCTTCGTCGGTGTCAACCGCCGTGCGCTCAGTAAGTCGCGCGCACCTCAGTCCTTCGGTGTTCTGATGCCTCTCAGTCATTGGCTGTGGTCTGCAGGCCTTCCAACAACTGTGCGGCTTCAACACCGTAAGTAATTCCGGTATCAGTTTACGACCGCCTGTCCTGACATACCGCGCACATCTAGCTTATGTACTATAGCGGTATGTATTCGCAGCCGGGAGAGACGAGAAGATGATATTGACTGCCTGCGCCAGCCACGCTCTTTGAGGAGATCGGCTTCAACGACCCCATCGCCGTCGGCCTCATCATCTCAGGCACGAACTTCGTCTTCACGCTCTTCGCGCTCAAGTACATCGACATCATTGGCCGGCGAAAAATCATGATTTTCTCCTCGCCCGGCATGGTCATCGGGCTCGTGGTCGCCAGCATCTCTTTCTACTGTACGTCGGTTCTGATCCACCTGGCTTTTATGTCCTCTGCGTGCGCTGACGTGGTTTCATGGCAGATATGACGAAAAAGACGGACGGGTTGCTCGTCTCGGGGACGAAGTACTCGCACACGTGGTCGTCGCTCATCCTGGCGTCCATGATCTTCTACGTGGCATCGTACGCAACAGGCCTGGGCAACGTCCCCTGGCAACAAGGCGAGCTCTTCGCCCTCGA